AGTTCTGGAAAATCTCATTTTCATTCTCACTTCCCTTTGTTCAGTTCAACACTGTTCTGAGAAAGTCACTTTGTCTAATAGACATTGTGACCTTAGCACTGTACCATAGAAAATGAGATTCACCCCTTCAGAGCTGTAAGATGCTGCTGCTCTGTGCCACAGAAGTGAAGCAATGCACTGTTTTTGCAGATACAGTGAAAAAGGCTAAAACTGAAAATATGACTAAGGAGAAGAATGCAAGCTCTGTAAAGAAGAGATGGAAAAGTCTACAGAAGAGAGGAGACAAACAGAGGTTTAGCTCCTGTGGAATCAGCAGAGAAAGCAGCAGAGATTCCAGCAGAGGTGTTTGGAACCCATTTGCACATCTCTTAGATCATTCCTTTACTCCCTTCAGTTTTGGGCCAACCTGTCTCTACATAAAGACTACTGAAACCCCTAAAAAATGCCCTCATGGTCTGAAGGAGCTTCCAGTCTAACACAGTGCTTTCACAGCTGAAGTACCCACAGCAAGTAATGCTGTCCTCCAGCTGAGAGCAGCCAGCCGCAGGCAGTAAGAACCACTCTTCCAGAACGAAAATCAGTAAGAATAGAGTTCTGCTGTTCTGAAATAAACCTACAATTAAGTTAAATTTTAAGTGAAATCCTCCTCTTCTGAAGACAGCTTTTCAGTCCACTATTTCTTATTCTGACATCTGCTCTTCCCACCTCACTCGGCTGCACAAACCCCTAGCAGGTCAGAGACTCTCCCAAGGGTCTGCCCAGGTAAGTCAAGGAGGACAAGGAGCAGTCTCAGGAGGTTCTGGAAATAAGACATTACAGCATCTGATATATCAGCTTCCCCACCACCCACCCCCACCCAAAGGGCCATTTAAAAATCCAAATATAAATTAGCACCTCACCCACACAGTGCTTTTGCAAGCCTTGCTCCACAGCTACCGCTTACAAACAGGTTGCTTTGCATAGCTTTGGAGAGGCGTGTTCCTATTGTAACAGTTTTTTACCACAACAAGGTTTGTGTGGGGAGGCAGATTTGTCCTTTCAAGCAATCAGATCTCTAAAGGTATAGAAAGCTGTTCTGCCCCTCAAATCTGCCTGTCTTTCCTTAGCACCAGTGAACAGCACTGCCAAAGTTCTCTTTGCATCAGCTTGGCTGATAGTGATGCCAGGCCAGGGAGAGATTCCACTGCTTTTGGGAACTAGGAAACTGCCCTCCAGCTGTAGGATGTGGCTTGAAGCTGTGGCTTAAGGGAGGAGTGCATCAGTGAACCTGGGAAGCATAAGACCCAGTAATATGGGAGCATCCTAAAAAAGAGCAAAGAACTGCTTTTGGTGTTATAGGTGCGTAGTGGCTTCAGTGAAAAGTGTCATATATATCCTACACAAACAGACAAATGAGTACTTGAAAATCAGAGCAGGAAACACAGCACGCACACATCCTTTTTTCCCTCCACTGACCCACACCGAGCTACTTCCCCACTGGCAGAGAGATGGAACCCTCCAGAGAGGGGCCTCAGCAGTTGCCAGCAGGCAGTCCAGAAGCAGTGATCACAGACAAAAATAACCCTAAAAGATCTTTCCAAATATAGCTCGTCATTATTGGTGCTGTATCAGTTTCATTTCAAGCTGTGTCTGGCAGTGTCTCTCTCTTATTCCCTGTAAAGAATAACAACAGGTCCAGAGGCACAAGGGCCTTTTCTCTAGAAAGGAAAATGGAAGAAAGAGTTTTACATCAGACAAAAGGATGGAGATTTCTTGCTCTCCAGTGTTTAACCTTGATCCCTGGTTAATCATAAGTTGGGTGAGCATAACAGGGGCTGCTGAAACTCAGAGGATACAGTAGTTTCCAGGCATGGCTGTACTAAGAACAGTCTGCAAGCTGCAAGTTTGAGCATCATGACACAGGGAAACTGTGTGGCTTGTGTATTACTATTAGTAAAACATCACCCCATGCACCTGTAAATGCTCAGTTGCATGTGACCAGTCTGAGCTAACTGGAACACTACTGCTGTGTTACAACCTGACATAAAGTTCACTGGGTGAGAATTTCTGGCATGAAGAAAAGCAGGGAAGCGAAGGGAGGATATCAGTGTCTGATTTTTTAACTTATTTATTGTTTTAACTTTTTGCCTTGGAAATTTTTACTGGTAAAAATGTTGGCAAATGTTGGCAAAATGCTGGCATTTCACAGGATGAGAAGATCAGTGCAGTCTTTAGTATTTGTGAAAAAAGCAGAAAGCTGTTGTTAGAGCTTGGACTGCTTGGAAATGTGTAGGATAAGGCTGGTTAGGGACTGAGAAAAGGCCATATTTGCTTTTGAGTCATCTGGGGGTATTTATGAGACTGCTAGTCCAAACCTGCCATTTTAAGGAATCTAATACTGTTTTCAAATAACTGAAGGCAAATCTTAATGATTTCAGAGGAAGACAACGCCAGAGACAGGCTGCTTTTTGGATATGAAGGTAAGATCTTAGAAACACTGTGGTCCATGGACCTTTATCTGCAGAACTGGGCAATTGCTTACTTTATGTGCAGGCAAAAGAGCCAAAATGATCCAAAGAAGTGCACTGCCAGTCACAGTTAGAACATTTGCCTTGAAAAATAGCAAAACTATACTTAGATACATAAAATCTACTGTTAGTTACACAATCTGAAGCACAGCTGTGGATCTGACTTACTTATGGTCATCTTACAGCTGTAGGTTGTTAGGATCGTAAGCAGGCAGATGCCACCTGTTGCCACAGCTAAACCACAGCTTGAACTTGCACGTGATACTAATATTGCCCTTGTATGGGGTAACTCCTGCATGGGGGTTGTTAGCGGAAGCGCAGTTCACGATGCAGTTGTTGCTGTGATGCATGCTATGGTTTGTTGGTGAGGAGCACAATGCTAGTCCTTGCTGGGACACTCCTTCATCTTGAGATCAAAACACCATGCTAAGGAAATAGAGATGCTGTGGACCGCTTTATACCACACTGTCTGTTGCACACAGATATGCAATCATACACACACATGTAGCCAGCACTGTCAGGACAGGGAGTCTTCTCCTGTGTAATTGCAAATCCAAAGAGCTTGGATATGACAGTTCATGCCCTGCGTCTTCTTTCCCCACTCAGAGAGGAAGAATGAACAATACACTACATTACCCTCAGCGTTGTAAACAAATACAAAATGAAAAACAAGAGAAGGAAGACTCAAAAACCTCAGTCTCCCATCAAGCTGATACGCCATGGTAGGCAAGCAATTAATTTTTGTGCTTCTCGGTCTGTAAATAAGGTATCAGGTTTTTGCTCCATAGGGATATATTGATGCTTTCTCTTGTTAATGCCATTAAGTTGTAAAGTGCTTTGGGATATTTGGCTCCCACAGTGCTTTAGAAATGCACAATTAAATTATACCCAATTATAAACCAAACCAGGTGATCTTGGAAAGGAAGGGATATTGCTCTGAGGCATTAATAGTCAACAGAATGCTCTAGGGGGAATCATGGGGATCTGCATATGCAATTTAATTTCCATTGTCCATTGTACATCTATTTTCAGCCTGTATCTAAATACATTTTCTGAAGTCTTTATTATCTTCTTTTGCATTAGAATGAGGCCCCATCAGGTAAGTTCACTGCATCCTAAATATAGCACCGTAGGGTAAAATTCTCCTAGTAGACCCCATTCTTGGGAAACAACTCTATTTCTTCCTTATTCCTCAGAGATTTTTCTACCATGTCTGAAGCTTCTGCAAATAAAATCAACAGCTTGCCATTTAGAATGAAGAATAGGAGATCAGTTCACATCTGCTTGTGTCCTACTGTCATGCCTGAAGACAAGCAGGTTGTTACCAAAGGAATGTACCCTAAGACACAATCTCCATTCACTACCCTTTATGCTTGGTTACATACGCAGAAGTTTCCTAAGTTGTTCAGGCCTAGAACAAGACCCAGGCATACAGCACTTCTGCACAAGAAAATGACTACAACCACCAAAATGGCTTCACAGGAGCACATGTAACAGAAGAAACATACCTATGGTTTAGTGACATGGATCAAGAAAGCCTGATCATTAAATAAAAATAAGCACTCTGATACACAATTACTTATTTTAGTGTATTACTTATTCTATTACTTTAATGTAATTCCCACTGCTCTTGATGGAATTAGAAGACCAGTAGAAGCATGTGGATAGCTTCTGAAGAAATACATGCATAGCCTGGTAATATATATTAATATATAGTTTGCTTGTTTTATATTTCTGTTTTAATAATAAACAAAATATATGCATTAATAAGCCAGACTGAAAAATTGGGCTTGGATCTCACAAATTCAAGTAACTCTATTCTGCTTTCCCCCAGCCCAGGCAGAAAGATCATTTATTGTTTTGATTTCATGAACTGGGGCCTGTTCAGTTTTGCATGGGACTACTGCTAATGAGATATCCTTATTACTGATAAGGCCTGAGCAGAGAACAACTGAACAAAGGAAAACACATTTACCTGACACAGTACCCGTGAGAGTGCTAAAAGCACACCTCATGTACTTCCAGGGACTTCTATTGTTTCTTGCCCAACAAGACTGTCATGCAATCTCCTAAACATGACAGATTGGTTTTTCTGAATGAATCCTTCTCATTTAGGAAACAAATCCCAGTTGGATGGGAAATACACTACCAGACAATAATTTGTAAAGCCAATAGTCTCTTTCATCAAGACATGATAAGCTATGAGCTTCGGACAGGCTCTACTATCTTAAATTTTAATCAACATCTGTAGAACCTACTACACAATGTCCTACACGTGCATATTGTCGAAGGCAGCTTGGAGCTGAGAAAATTGCTATCAAATAGATGGAACAGCAAAAAAGGAATTCCTGTGCTCACTGCCTAGGTGGGGAGTGAGGTGGAGAACAAGTTAGTGATATGCTCAAAGCCAAAGAGGAAGCCTGATCTTACTCTGCAGTCTAGTGTACAAAAGCACCCTTTTTCCTCAGCACTAACATGAATTTTTATGCTTACCTTTGTCTTTGGAGATGTACCACAGCTTCTTTGAATCCAGAGGGTCAATGTCCCTAGTGTTATTGTGGGCAATGACTCAGAAAAAGTATTTCCTTCCTGGGAGCAGGCCTGTGATGATGTACTTATTGCTGTAGACTTTTCTGTGGCTGTGTGAACTGTGTGGCAGTACTGATATCATTTTTCAGGATATCATAATGTGTCTGCTAGTTCTCTTCTTTATCCTGGCTGTAATTCTATTTTAGTATCACAGTTTCTTGGGACTTTCTCAAGCCAGCTGAGATTAGTGATTGATCAGAGGAAATTTAAGAATTATTTTGCAGATTTAAGTATTGATTTCTCCTGTTTGGAACCATCCCTGTGTTCTTTTCTGGGGCAAAATTATTTCACTTCAGCTCCTCCCTTCCAGAGTCTTTGTGTGTTTAATTAAAGCACTTTCTCCTTGATTTCTTCTGGCTTGAGGAACCTGATAGCTTGCCGTATATAATTCCTTCCTGATGAAAAAAAATATGGTTGCTAGTTTTAAAAAGCACTCTGAAGAGGCAATGTATAAAATACAATGCAAAGATCTCTAAACTTCTCACCCCCAGCAGATCATTACAGTAATGAAAATTTCTCTAAGGAGCAAGCTAGTTTGTATGGACAAAGATGTATGAATGCACTGTGCTGTTCCAGTACAAACCACCATGTGGCTCTTCAGCCTCACAGTCAGGTCAAACCTATGAAGGATAGAAGAAAAACAAGACAGAAAGAGAAAAAAATTTAAAAATTAAAATAATGAGAGACTGCATCGGAAAAAGAAGTCATTCTTCAGTCTGCTGAGTCAAGCGTGAAGAAGTGAACAATGGAGACTGAAGGAAGAAACTTTCTACAACTAGTGTTGAAGTTGGTTAAGAGGAGCAATGCCAGCTATTTTCCTAATACCCATGCCACATGAAAAAAAGCAATAATACCTCAGCAATCAACAGCTTAGTGACGAGCACCTGTTCACCAACTTCAGGTGAGAAAGGGCAAACATGGGAACATTTAATAATAGTTCATGTAAAAAGTGAATAAGAGCAAAGAAAAAGAAGAGGCAGATCTAATGCCTTATTAGATGATGCCCATCCTCTTTGCCACAAACAATTTTCTATGTCTGTTTCTAGTACGACTTCTACTTTTCATTGCAGTGCTGCATATTGCCATTCTATACCAGAGAAGTTTATCTGGAGCCTGCATTGGCTCTGGGATTTTTTGGTGTTCCTGTGTTTGGAAATATGGTATCAAAGCACAGATTGGTTATGTAGTTCCAAAGTGAAGACTGAGAGTAGAAACAATGATGTTTATTATTGGTCACTGTGTCATCTTCTGAGATTTCCCTCAGTCAAGCCTGAACATCCGTCTACTCTGCAGAAATCAGTGCTACATAACATGACTTACTGCTGCTTAGGGCAGTCAGCATCACGCTTTGTCACCTGAGAGTATCTTAAGAATAAAAAGTCTAATTTCACAATTCATCAATATTATTTAAACTTTGGTTTGCTGTCACCTGATTGCTCATTTCATTCAAACCAGCCACCTGAAAGAACTGTAATTCTGTCTCAGTACCACTGTATTTGAAACAAGCATTTCATAATTATGACAGTTTATTCGCTATAATACTTACCCACCTCATCCATACTCAGACTACAGCATCCTTGATGGAAATCAGAAAATATTCCAACCTAGACTTGTGTAACGAAATACCTGAGAAACATCAGTGGTGGAAGTAACAGCTATGATTGCACCTAAGGTACCTGTTCAGGGAACAACTCAGGACTAGCCAAAAGGATGGCAGAATCCTTTAATTTGACTAAAGAACTGCACAGCTTGTGCTGGCCTCTATCTTCTCCCAGCACCTCTGAAAACACAGCAAGAAGAAGTAGAGCTCTGATACTAAACATTCCTTTGTGAACAAACATGAATTTGATCACCCTTTAAAAAAATTATGTATATTTAAGAAGAAAGGATCAGTAAGAGATGGGAATTCCAGCTAGATGGATATTGCAAGTCTTACCTGTAACTCCATTGCTTTTCCCACACCGGCTTCACTCGCAGCTTGGAAGGATACGTCTGTCCTGCAAACCTCCTGCAGTGTTAAGTGGTACTAAAGACAGGGATCAGTATTGTCTTTCTGTCAAGGGTCCATCCTTGGTGTTCTCTGCTTATATCCTCTAGTATGTATCCTGATGGCACAGCTTCCTTGTTTGGTTCCTGCCAGGCTGAGAAAATGCTGGAGCTGGAAAAGTCCACCAGGTGGAGGACTGTCAGGACTTCTGCAGGCTCTGTGACAGAAGGAGAACTGTGACATACTACTTTACTGGCAGGTCTATGTTTGCATATGTGAAGATAGAACTGTTCTTTTTTCAAGATGTCAAATCTGCAAGGTTTTAGAAAAAAAGGAACCTTGATAAACACAGCAAATTCTGTCCACTGAGACAATGCAGTTTCTAAAATAAACATAAACACATATAAACCCTGTCCTGAGGCAGGCCATTTAAGTGTAAAGTCCTCACAATGTTTGCAAAGGGCCCAACTGAAATCACTGTGGAAAGGGCATCTTCTGTGAGCACTGACCACCACTCATTTCCATGAGTGCTTGGGAGAGGTATCTATGCATTAAAATTCTATGCATCACTTCTGTCTCTTCCTAACTGACAGATGGGTGTGTGTAAACACATTTCCTGTAAGGTCCTGTATGGTTTTGAGAACTGTATGTCTATTCTTTTATTAAAAATCCCTCTTACAGTTTTGAGTCAAATGGTTTGGCACTATCTGGACTGCTTGGACAAATGAATTCATTGACTGGCTTTCAAAATTCTGTTCATGTTCTTCAAATTTATGTGCCAAAGATTATAGTACTCAAATTAACAGTCACTTTTGAAAATGCAGATCGTGCTTTTTGCTCATTAGTCTACCTTGTAGCTCATTTACCTCGTAGCTGTCGAGTTAGATTGCCATACTAAATAAAAAGAGTGAAGGATGTGATATTAAAAATTATCTGCATGTTTTGAGTCAAATGAATAGTCCAAATTCCTGTTCTCCTTTGACAATCTCAGACAAAATGCATTAAAAAATAAGCAAAAATAACTAAGACCATCCTCCTAGCCCAAGTCAATTTGCAGCCCAAGTGCAGTCCAAGTGCAGCATGCTGTGCCAACCTTCATGCTAATGGCTTTTACAGAATACTCTTATGAGCATAAAGGGTCATAAGGAATATGGTGCATTTGGGTAGAACATATTCTCCTAGGCTTAATGCAGAATAATGCGAGTAGTCAAATAGGAGAAGAATCATGGCTTCAGGCTTTAAACTGTTTTTGTGTTGTCTTCTGATGTAAAGGAACCAGAACGCTTTTCCTTTTGAGTAACTATTTAACCTCAAGGCTCTTTGAGCATAGAATTCTCTTTCTTTTTTCTTTCTTTCCTTTTTTTTTTTTCTTTTGTTGCTGTTGTTATATTAGCTTTTACATTTCAGGAGTTGTTTATTTTCCCCCCTAAATTATGTGCACCAATAGAGGACCACTCTCATACTGATAGTTTAACTAGTGATAGTTAAAGCCATTTATTGGTGGCCTCTGACAAACTTCTGTTTTTCAAGTGCTTTAGTTACACAGTCAAATAAAGTAAGAATTCTACATAACAAAGTTAAATTTGCCCAGTTCAGCATCTGTGAAGCACCACAGTTCTTTAGAGTTTGTGATTTCAATCAGTCCAAAATTAGGCACAAACTTTTTCTACTACAAATCCAGTCTTAAGGGAGAAAAAGAACAAATCCCACAACTTTTAAAAAAGGTGATGGGCAACTGATGAAAGCATCATAGTGATGTTAGAAATATCACCAAAAAATATTTTCTTTGTCGTATATTAGGCAAACTGTACATAAACATCAAGTGTTAAAATTATCTCCACCTTAGAGCATCTCTATCATGTTGATCTGTTTGATTTTTGCATACACACAGCTGCTCCTGGTGAGAATTCCTTCTTATATTCTTATCTTAATAGTTACACATTTTAAGTGAATCACACTTTCAAGCACTTGTAATTACACTTACAGAGAGTAGTATTAAGGCCTTCATTAATTAAACTGCAAACACAATGCAATTCTTACACTGAGTCAGGATGAAGTTTGCCACACTGCTTCAGAATTCGGTCATAAACGCATAGATCTTGTCATAGCACACATGTTCAGGAAAACTGGTCGTTAAATAGTTGAAGATAGACACTGATGGGATACTTTGCAACAAGTGATTAAAGGTGTGCTGGGAAATCCAGGCTCTGCATGGCTGAACATGCATTGTATCATTTGCTTCAGGTACCTGGAAAGACAAATGTTGTAATTACACAACTCTAATTACCCCAATAGTGAATCTACCTGGCTACTAGTTTTCTAAATTGCTTTTGGACTGACATGAACCAAGAGGTATTGTCAGCTCACAGACACCTGTGGAGAACAGCATAAACTTAGGGGTTAAGTGAGCCCCTTAATTAAATCTAGATTTCACATTTCCAGTAGTCCACTTTCACATCTTTCACTAAGGTCCAGAAGAAGGAAGCAGAATTCCTTTGAATGTAATATGAAGAAGAGGCATAATTTGCCACTACAATGCTTATCACTAAATTATGAACTATATCTTGGTGTAATCTACATTCTGGGGAAAACTATCCATTATTTTGCCCCCACTGACTTTAGCAGGACTTCCCATTTAAGTAAGAAATTCAGCAGAGTGGCCAATCCTCTCACAGTCCAGCCTTCGAGCAAGGTTAAACCTCTGTTCCATTTAAAAAAGCAAAAGTTTCAGGGAACTGAATAATTTTCTGTAAAAACTGCTTCCATCACATACCACGAGTAATGTTGGTATTTCAAAGGGGATATTTTTGGATAGTGTGATGGATTGTAACTTAATTAGCATGGAAATGCAACATGTTGACTGAGACAGAGGAAAGAATCCAAGAGCTAAAATATTAGCAGAAAAGGAAAAGCAAAAGTCTTGTTAGTCAAATGCTGCTGCTGACAGGAACATTCCCATGTGTTATGCAAGCTGTACTAAGCATTGATCATATGGTTGCTATCTGATGGATACAATACAATCAGTCACTTGCTTAATTCATTTCTGGTCTAAGTCAGGAAAAGGCAGTCAAATTAAGTAGGGGGAAATACAAAACACGAGTGCTTGAAATTAGACAACCAAATCCATGGGTGACTTTCTGACATGCTGGGTGTTCTGCTGTGCTACTGTTGCATGTGGGCGTCCAGATGTCTGTGAGGGTTGAAAAGCGGTTCTCACTTTGAACAGCACGTCAAAATATACATCTTGCTAGATGCCATTTCCTCGATCAATCAATAGTATTCAGCTTTTTATTCAAAGCTTATTTTGCTTTTAATGTGGCTGTATAAAACATACAAATAATCCTGATCCGACTTTGGAAGGGATCTTTGTAGCCTAGGACACAAAGATTGTTACCTTCTTTTTCCTTCTTTCTGTGACATAGCCTAGCTCTGGGGAACCTCCAATCCGGACTGAGGAGTTTCTGGTGATGGTGACAGCTTCTTTCCTGACATTCAGTCCTTAAGGCTGAGACACCTGTTCAAGAGACTCCACACAGAGAAAAAAAATCAGTTTAGCACAGTACAAACAGAATTCATGGATTTCCAATTGTGTGCACGTATGTGTGCATACGTACACATATACCTACAGCAAGAAGTCAAGGATAACTTGCATGTTTACTTGATTCATGCTCCAGTGTGTTGTTGTTTTTTTTCTTTTTTACAGCTTCTTACTTTGCCAGCTACTTCCCTTTATCACTTCAAAGGTTGAAACATTTAAATGCTTGCATTTATTCCAAAAATGAGCTCTTTATGCAGTATGCTACAGAGCTGCACAGAAACACTTTCCTTAATCCATAAGAAGTTTGGATAAAAATGGAAAATTGCAACACTTTAGGTGAGAACTGACATATATTACTTCAGTTTGGAAATTTTACTTCTGACATGCTTCAACAGGGCAGACCCACTGTCTACACTGTTTTCTGTGATACACTTTGATCCTGGGAAAAAGAGAGCTACAAATGGACGCACAGCTTCTCTAGGGATCCCAGTATACAATGGAAAACAAGCACAGGAGGTACCCAAACTGTAAGTCCCAGAACATAGTTCAGTAGAGTTTTCTAACTAACTAACTAAGGTTTTGGCTGATATATTTTCTTTCTTGGCTGCAAAACAAAATGTTTTTAAGCATTCCCTTTTAAATTATCTTCTCTCCTCCTCCACAATATTTTCCAGACAAAGACAATTCATTTCTGCCATATTCTACTAAGCTTATGTAACTGACACTAGAAGAGAGTGTTAGTCAGTCCTCTTTCATGGCCAGTTGAGGGGTTTATGAGTCTGCAAGCACTGGTAGTGAAAGGATTGCTATTTGTTTGGTCCTGGTTTTAGTCCAAGCACAAAACAGTTTCTAAGCTCCTGTCCTTCTCATTTGTCCCTGAAGCATGAGGACAGTGTTCCTTTGGGAACTGGCAAGAAGGAAGAGGACAAAAACGATGGGAAGCAGGACATTGAAACTACATTAAAAACAGCTGGTCTAAGATCTTCACATGCTTACCCAATAGGTCATCTGGCAATAATTTCTGTTCTTCTGTTTCCAGGGGATACTGAAGCCCTCAGAGTTGAATTGGTATGCTTTTCTTTTTTCCACCTTCTCCACACCAAAGTTACTTTCTACCACCCCTACTTTGATCCAAGATATTTTCCCTAGCCATTCTCCTCTTGACGTGAAGCAAGTTACCAGTTTTCCTCCATTACCTTTGGGTGCTTTCCATTTCATTACAGTGCCTATTCTCTGTGTTTTCCAGGAACTCTGCTTTCCCCTGTGGAGATTTTGGATTGTTTGCAGTGTGAACAGCTGACTAGAATGACATGGAGGGCCTTTACTTAGAGGGTCATATCCTTCCACAGTGTAAATCAAGGTAGTTCTATTGATTACAGCAAAATTGGACTTGAATCACTCAAGAAACCACTGCAAGGGTTTTTGGGTTTTTTCTTTGTTTGTTTGTTTTTGTTTTGTTTTTTTTTTTTAAAGACAAATTCTGAATGAGAGTGTTTGCAGCCCAACATGTCTACTAGTGACATGCCTGCTATAAAACGATTAATATGAGGCCCTACCAACAATGCTGAGGTAAAAATCTGAGCCAGTTACTTTCTGAGATTCAGCATTAACAGCTCCATTGTCTTCTCTTGCACAGCGTTTGCTTGTAACACAGTCACTGGTTTTCTCCATCACCTCTTTCTCTGCCATTTAACACCATCTCAGAAACATGACTTCACACAATGCCTATGCCTTTAAAGGCACTTTCAGTATGCTCATTCTTCATAGTTACACTATGTGCAGCTAAAAGCTTCAGTAACAGGAGAATCTGAAAAGAAAACAATTGAAAGCTGCAGCTGCAAATACACCGTACCATTTTTCCTGTGTCTGTTAGTTCCCAAAGGTAGCCCAAAGTTGGGCCCCTTGTAATACTCCTTGATGGCTTTTTTTTTTTTTTTTTTTTTTTTTTAATATAAGAATCCCACATTTCATGAAAACTTTCAAGGACATGAAAAATCTTCAGTGTGTTTTGATTCAGGCAATTTAGTTCTGTTTCTTGAACAAGAAACCTGGCTGATTTCCTTCAGTTGTTCAGCTCAGCAGAAAAGGAGGGAGTTCTAAGAAATAGCAATTGCCAAGTGCTCCGCAGTTCTCTAGGTCCTTGAAATTTATTTCCAGGCAGTTTTTAAGTTTTGAGGGCAAAAGAGGAAACCCTTTGTGCTATTCTTTCCTAAGACCACATTTGGATAAGCCGTAATCACAAGAAAGATGATGGAATCAAAGTTTACTGCTTGTAAACAAAACATTCCATAGTTGTTAGAGCTATATGGGAAAATGATAAGGATGTCCTGTGCGCAATAAAGAAAAATAACCAAGTTCCTAAATATTTGTGTTTTTCCTTTTGTCAGGTGTACGATTACAAAGGACAACCTGCTGAAATAGTCATAAAAATGCAGTCAATATTTCTGACAGCAGGAAAATCATTCCCTGTACCAAGGCTTTGCTGTGGATGTGTTTTTACTGCACACAGGTTCTATAAATCTATATTTGATGCTGCAGCCACAGCATCCTTACTGCTCCGTTTGTCCCACTGTCTTGGCAGCGGTATCCATCCATCTCGCCTTTATTTGGAGAGAGGCTCTTTTCCATGCTGCAGATGATTCTGAAAGTCCATCTGGCGCCATCTGGCTGCCAAGAGCTGAGTAATACACATATTTACATTAGTTATAATTTCAGAAAAGGTGTTTTTCTCGTTGCTTGTGACAACGTTTCAAGTAAAGGTTAAGGCCAAAATTCTCCATCACAGATTTATAAACATGGAAACCTGTATTTTTCACTTAAAATCAGTTGGCATGACTGTTCAATTTTCTCCCCTTTGGTATGGAGACAATGGAGCAGAAAAGTTTTGCTCACGCAGACAGATAAGCCTAAAAATTGTACAGCCCCAGCTGAAGGGACCTGATGAAGCACAGATTCTGCAAGTGTCAGTGTTAACAATAGTAAGGAGATGGCTTAGATACCTGCAGTGTCAACTCTTGCTTTGTCCCCTGTCCCCTTGGCTGAGCATATGCCTCTCTTCATGCTCCTCTTTTAAACTGTTGATGAGTTTGCTTCCTACTACAGTACCCAGATTCCTTTCATGGCTATAAGCTGACAAGAAGGTTGAGGCATAAAATAACACCCATTGCAACAAACACCTTCTCTGACCCTGTCCCTGAACCTCAGAATTTCCTGCTCTAAGATGACCAAGAAATCAGGATTTCCAAGACCTTATCTGGCACAGTGTTCTGTGATTTATGGACAGAATGAATTCCGTGGGCAGTGATCTATGTATTTGCCTAGAAAAGCTGCATGGCATGTAATGAAGGGTATGTATTAGCATGCAAAGGATACATTCACTAATTACTCTGAAAATCTGAGACTGAGTGAGAGAGAAGAGAGGATGGTGAGAAGCCAACCTTTCGGGAATAAATGTGTGTCTACAGGGTGAGAAAATATGTTAACAAATGTGAAATCATATAAGCACCTTCACAGGAGACCAGGAAGGAAAAATTTGAAAAAGTGAAGAATGAAAGTTGAGACTTAGTAGGATTGAGATTGTGGAAGACTGGGAAGGATTAGATCAGTCCTTATCTGATCTGTCCGCCTGTTTCTCCTTAGTCAAAAACCCTTAGGATGAAAGCTATTATCTCTGCATGGTAAACTGCACATCAGGGAAAGAAATGGGGCTAAAGAGAGCCTGTTCTTATATAGCTTTTATCTGTCTTCATGGGTGTATTTCCACTAGAGGGAAAGCAGCTCAAGGAACCCAAAAGCTGAAGCAGAAAAGAAGCCTCTTGCACTATTCTAGATCTGCAGCTGGTCCAAAAGAACTTTCAAACCAGATAAACATTTCTGCAACATTTCTAACATTTCTATCTGAACCTGAACTCTGCATAAGGAAATATGAGTCTATAAAAAAGATACCAGACTGCAATTCCATTGTGTGTAGGATCTGGTAGGAGCCTTTTGAACCTCTGCATGGGAGAGGCAGCTCATCCGTGGCTTTCCAGGTTACCTATAACATGTAAATGGTTTCTTCACTGGAGGAAAGGTCAGAGAATCCTCCCACCCCACACAGTCCCTACACTGCCATATTTACATTCTAGGACTGGTAATTATCCTCCGAAAGTTGGGGTTTCCATGCTCACTGCCAGCCAATCTCAACCTTGGCCATGGACTCCTCATAAGGCTGCATGCCTGGAAAGCAAAGGGCTGCCATTGGGAAACTGCTCCTTTCATCTGTCCTGTTTTGGGACAAAATGCTACTAATAGGGTGACTTCCACCCAAGTCTGTGCATCAAGTCAAACCAGGGTTTGTGGGATATCATCTCATGCAGAAAATGCAAAGCTATTAGAGACAAACCAGACTCAGAAACAGATGTCAGGGTGGGCAGCAAACTGCCTAAAATCTGCCTGACCTCACAGCTGAACTCCTCTTGGTCCTTGGGGTTTCCTTCATACCATCTTACCAACTAAACATTCTGTTGTTCTTGCACATGCAAAGGATATGCTAATATGATTGTTTACTCTTTCCAATTACTTTGTTTTAAAATGGTCTTAAATGATATGCTTTTCATAGAAGGCATCTGGGCATTCTCAAAGCTTGTCCACAATAAACAGAAGTTATCACAGATACTAAAAGCTACTCAAATCCACTCTGTGAGGAAGAACTTTGAAATTCTTCTCCAGCCCATGATGAGAGCACAAAGATTTTTGCCAACATTCACCTCCTAGCAGCCTTGTGTCTTTCTATATAGATCTTAGGTACAAGGTTATAGTATCAATAATGCTACTGCAAAATTAATTAAAAATATAAACACGATATTGAATATTTACTACACTAAGAGTCTCATGTGCCCCTGGTCCTTAGCATTCAAACATCCCATGGGTCACCTTGAAGAACAAGAATTCATTATGACAATCCTGGTTAAAATAAAAACCACTATACTTTACTAGGCTGCTTTAGGTGGTACGAACAAGGACTTAGATGGAAGATTTACTGCTTTATGCTTCTAACTCTACAGCAAAGAGACGTCCTTAATTATTATCTTCATAATACCAAAACAAAGCACAGACTAATGGCTTATTCCATATTAAACGATAAATAGACTTCAGATCAGCATTATCTCAAATCAGTTTTGTGGCTGTTACAACAAAGCAACACTACTGCTCTACAATGAAGAACAGTACAAAGGCTGCTAACATTTCTTTTCCTTCCTTGGACCAATCATACATACCTTCCCAGTTACAATGGAGCTGCTGTAGCAGTCGTTAGGTTCACTGTCTCACACAGCAATGCCTATACAAGTTCCTGAGTCACTGGCTCATCAACATTATGATAAGCTCTGCTCTCTTCCCTTCGTGATTCCTAGTGTACTTGAAATCTTTCAATCACCCATCGATTCCTCATCTCTTTCAGAGTGACATCTTCCAAAATCAGCACATACTCCAGACAAGATTTTCCATTCTTCCTTCGGGTATTCTCAGGTTTGCTGATGAATTGAACTGGAATCTCTAAGAAAGGGGAAAGGAGCAGCAAAAAAAAAAAAAAAAAGGCACAAATCAGCAAGCACTTTACAAATCAAACAAGGCAGTTTTGCTTTTTCAGGGTACAACGTGGGCTCAAGGCTTAGGGGATTTGCACTTTAGCTCTACGAATTTCGTAGCTCAAATACTGCTGTAACACATTTGATTTACTTACCACCTGAAGAAGCTTACATTGATTTACCTGTGATCAATGAAGAATGGAGCTTTCCGCTCTGTATCTCCAGTTTCAGCACTGAGTTCTGAAGTCCACAGGACAGGATATCTTAAGTGTGGGCCAATACAATCATCAGATGCAATGACCTCATACTTATTGTCCTGCTTCCACACTTGCCCATTGAACTTCCACATGAAGTTTGGCATTTTCCTTAGCAGGCCCATTTCAAACATCGCAGCTAGCAATGTTTTTTGGTCCTTTTCAGTGGTTTTGTTTCTATCAGGTTACAGGTTAACCTGTTAAAATACCGAAAAGACAATTTTTTGTTTTGCTTAGTTTCCAATCTCTGATTTCCTACACTACATAACGAGACTACAATGAAGTCTTTTTGATTTGTTTCTTGAATGATGGCAGAAAGATCAGTTAATTCCTTCAACTTCAGCAGAAATTAAGTTAACTAGTTTGAAATAATCAGTAGAAGTTGCAATCTTACCATACCAACCACCTAACGACACGCTGCTTTCTGTTCAGTTCTTCTGCCTTAGTTTTGTTTTTTCCCCTCTCCTGACTCTATGTCATTGTAAAGGACATGATATCAGGCAGCTGCTGATGAGATACCTGGAACTATTTGGCATATTCTGGAACTGATTGGGAAGCAGAAAGAAGACTGATATCTTTCTGTGTTATCTGCTAAGAGTGCTGCTGTGCCTGGCAAGGATTGCTATTTGGCTTAAGTAATGCTATTCTACCAAATAATATATTTTTTAGTAGTTCTAGCACGTATAAGTAGTGCACTTAAAGAATGGTACTTCTGGCAAAGCTTGTTTTTAAGGGATGGCCTTATTGCAATAGAAGGTAAGGCAGGTGGGCAGCATCATTTTTATCAAGTGATGAGGTACAGCTTATCATTCCCATTTTTCCTCTAAAACTGGTCCAAGTTCAGTAGTGACTCACATTCCTGCCACACTGACGTCAGCCTAGCTTATTATGTGTAATAAGCAGGCTTCAAGCTGAGATGTGCTATCTCATAAAAGGTGTTTTCACACAAGTGCTCTAGTAATTGTGGGTTGGTCTATGACTTGAATGTTAGATTTCTGTTTGAGCCTAAAACATCAGTAACATGAATGTTACAAAGACATTTAGAAAAATAAGAAAGCAGATCATACTTTGGCCTACTTTTTGATACAAAAATCTACAAAACTACAAAATCATAGTTTTGACCCTCTTTATTTTCTCTTCAGATATTGTTTTCATACACAAAACCTCCGTAATTCTGTAACCAACATCACCAGCATCATGACTCTCACAAAAATTCTGTAGGCACCCAGCTCTTTTTCTATTTTTTTTTTTTTTTTAAATGTTGGTGATGCACAGTCTATATTTCTTACCCATCTGCTTCAAGGACAGATTGGATGGGGCCCTGGGCAGCCTCTTTCAGAGGGTAGCAACACTGCCTACAGCACTGGGGTTGGAACTAGAAGATCTCTAAGGTCCCTTCCAACCCAAACTATTCTATGATTACAATTTTTTTAATTTATTTTTTATTTTTTTTACATTTCCTATATTCAGCTTCCTTGCCATCTTTGGTATTCAAAAGCAAACATTTTACCTGCTTTCCAGATATTTCAGAAATTCTGCTGTTAAGTAACTGAAGAATTACATTAGGGACTTCAGAGATTTGGTCCACTATCTGGCACAGCCATGGAATCTGGGATAATTTTCTGGATTTTTCTACCAACTGTTCCTTGGCAGAATAGAAGCATCACTATGTCCTTTATACACCTCATTTGGACTGTAGAATTCCTGGGCAGGGACTAGTCCAACACTGTTTGTCCAAGGCATCCAGTATGCCTTATCCTAAGGAATACTGGATTGCAGACCTTAGGTAGTCTATTAGGATGCTACATTAACACCATAAATCTGATCTGATATGGATTTCATCTCCAGTGAGAGATCTTCCTAGAGACATTAACTGAAGAGAGGTTCTGAAAACATTTTTTACCTTGTCAGGATTTGACACAATTTCTTCACATTTCTTTGAATATCCAGTTTTGTCCAGCTGCAAAAAAATGTAGATACTTATTCCATCTGGGATGTGTAACTGTCTTCCATCACAATTGTCTTTTTGGATGCATGCACTTTTTTTTTTTTTTTTTTGGACTCTGTCAAGGGTCTTGAGGTACTATGACACTAACTTCAACCTCCACTTCTTCTTTCACCTCTTTTAATTTCCTGAGAAATGAGAGAAGTTCACACTGGCCTTCTCTAAATTCTCCAGATTCTTAGGGATGATCTCCAATGTTTCGTTCTCCTCAACCACCAACTTCTTTACGTTCTTCCTCAGAGCTGGAGGTCCCCTGCACATAGCACTTCACAAAAAATTCATGCTTCTTTTCCAAGTAAATAAGCAACTGTCATGTTACAACATTCAAGATATCTAGACCTCTCTTGGAAGAGGGATTCATGCAGTTCCAAACAAGTTTTCATAGCATCAGAGAACATAGATAGAGATCTCAATGCTCCCCCATCAGATGGTCATTGCTGTGAAAACAGATTACAGAAATCCTTCCCAACACCTTGTCTGCCAGCCCATCTGCTGGGAGTTTGCCAAAGTGCTTACAATACATAAAAGGAGATCAGGCGGGTCAAGCAGGTTCTTCCTTTCATGAACCCATGCTAGCTGGGCCTGATTCCCCATCGTCCAGCAAATACCAGTGATCTCACTCAAGATGATCTGTTCCATAGCCTTTCCTGGCATTGATGTCAGGCTGATGGGTCTGTAGTTTCCCAGATCTTCCTTAGACTCTTCTTGTAGATGGGAATCACACTGGCAAGCCTCCAGAGTCACATTAGAAAGTCCTGAATAATATTACAAATTATTGAGGTTTAGCACTGTTTATTTTTTTATTTTTGCCTGAAAGGCACACAAGGGGCATTAGTGCCCCACTACAATAAATGCATAACCAAGTAACAAAAATAGCAGTTCTTGCTCTAGTGTTGTTTGCTGCTGATTGGAAACAATGCCCTACAAACATTCAACAGTATTGGCAAGTAGCAGTGCTGCAGTAGGACTACTGCAACCAGGGACATTTTCTTAGCTACTGATAAATATTATAGTGATTAATTTTTTCTTATTTAAAGTTTTATTGTGGAAATAAATAAATAAAGCAAAAAGTGTTACCAATATTCCTTAGTGATATTGTGAACAACACTCTTGGTCCCTCTACTGGTACTTTCCATGTTCCTTAGGAAAGTCTCCCTCTCCTTTCCATGTTACGTTAGGATTTGGTTTACTAATCATTTCAGCTCTGAATGCCCCTGAAAATTCAGGAAGAAATATTGGAACTGATTAATGAATAAGTGAAGTGGAAAAAGGACCTGTTACTCTGGGCTTATTTTTAATGTTTGTTTCATGGAGATTAGGTTAACCTTGCTTTACTTACTGTACCTAATACAGCTTCACATACATCACAAACATTACTCTGGGAATTAAATTTGTTCTTTAGAAGTACTCTGCAGACTGACAGGAATTATTTGTAATTTTTTTTTGTGATTCATAATCAAGGCTAATATAATCTTTCTGTTACATCATATAGTTATGGATCCGTCATATATGAACATAATGGGAGCTTATTTACTTAGTCTTTTCAGGTCACAGTCTTTCAGCCCCACATTATCTGTTCACGACTTTTGCTTAAACAGGATCTCCTGACTTTGAATCAGTAAAGACTGCTTTCCAGCTGATAAAATGAACTGTACCTTTCCCACTGGTCCAGCCCAAATCTCTAGAAACTGTAAGGATGAGTAATAGGGTTTGCTCTTTTTTTTTTTTTTTTTTTCAAACCACTTCCTCCATGTGTAAAACATGATGAACCATGTTTACTTGCACATAGTGGGTGAACGTATCTAGGAGCACCTGAAAATGCAGTCAGCTATTGTCATACTAGGTAGAGAAATAATTGTTACTCACCCTTGAGTGTTGTCAGTGGACAAGGCTTTTCCACAAATTTAAAAATATTTTCTCCAGCAAACAAGCATCACAAAGGAGCATGTCACCATGCTAAAATGCTCCTATATAGCACAGACCTCCTAAAAACAACCTCTTTGGTTGGGAACAAATGTGTTAATCAAGTTGAACAGAGAGATGTTGTTTGAAAAATTTATTTACCAGAAACAGGAAAGTAAGGATACAACAAGAAGCCCTGGAACACAACAGATAAATAAGCAATTGCCTGGTCAGTTAAAACCCCTACACATAAAGGATTTTGCAGCAAGTACTGTGCTGACTTTCCACAGGGAGTGCTGATCAATTCCTTATTTTTTTCCAGTCTTTCTGTGAGGCTTTGGGCCAGTAATTTGCTCTCCCTGTGTCCCAGCTGTGTCATCTGCATAATGGAAAAACTGGGCTACCTTGCTTGCATAGTGGTGCTACAAGATGCTTTGATGCTCTGATGTTAAACGTTCAAGAAAGGTGTCAAAACTAGATGCATCAAAAGACATATTAGGACATACTAGTCTACCCTTCTAAATTTTACTAAGCCCTCCTTTGCCCTTCATTTAGACCAATTCTCAACTCCCAAACCATTCAGTACACATTTTACACCTAAAGACAACAACTAGCTTGGTATGCATCACTTGAAAAGATTATGCATCTATGCTAACTGGAGAAATTTCTGGAAGCATATGACCCATTTCCAGGAGGGTGTCTGCTACCTACTGCTGTGCCAAGACTAGTAGAGAGTTGGAGTAAAGAGTTGGAGTAGAGAAACTACTCAATTCTAGTCTTTGAGTTGTAGGTGCTAGTCATCTAGAAATAGAGTATCCCTAGTTTTAGAAAGTGTTTCTTGACAAGGCAGATAAAATGAAACTTTGACACAGTTGTGTTCTCACTGAAGGCTCTTGAGGCAGAAGGAAGGCAACCCAAAACGCAACCTTCCCCAAAGCTAGGGGCACAGGCTTCAACCCTGATAAAGTTTGTAGTTACAAGCTGCAATCTAGAAGACACAATCAACAAAGAGGACAATGTTAAGACCGTGTGACCACCAGACTTTGCTTTGTTGCCAGGAGAAATCACAGCTTTAGCAAGAGCGCTCTCTTTTGGCATTTACCCACGGAGATCCTATTCCTTGTCATAATACATACACTTTGGTATTCTCGTGGAGCTGGCCTTTGTCTGTTGGCCTGCGTAAGAGATGAATGTTCTCTGACTCCTTATTTGCAGAAAACAAAGAGTCTCTGTCATAGCCTACATATCTCATTGTATCTTCTAAAAAAATACAAAGGGATATCACGCATCTCTAGACACTGCTGTCATTCATCTTCTGCTCAAGAATTTTTCTCATAGAAATATGATTTTTGAATCCAGGAGAAAGATCACTCTTACTTTTGCCTGGTCCTGCCCCAAAGGGGTTTTATCCTCTTCTGCTTACTGCCCTCACTTTCGCTGTTCTGTTCTCACTCTTTCTTCTCTTGCATCCAAACGGTCAGTAATGAGGATGACAGGAAAGAATGGGGCTGGTTAGAAAAGATGAGAGATGTTATTCTGTAATCCCAAACATTCTTGTAAGAAGTATATTTTGCCCTCAGCCACTATGAGGCAACTTCTTATCAGCAGCATCAAATGATAAAGTGAGAAGGCACACAGCACGTTCCATTACTCACCTGATCTACTGCCCAGTCCTTTGCCTATTTTTGAATGCATTTGGATTTTCAAATCCTTTAAAACTCATAGTGACATTGTTTAAAAACCACTCACCAAACCACCATTCAAATGGCTCCACCTTTCACCTTCAAATGGAATTCCCTTTACTTGTGTTTCTTTTACTTGATGAAAGCTTTCATCTTTAACCTTAGACTTTCTGAATGTGAAAACTGTACAGTTTAAGATCTAGCAGCTTGCGCCAGCTACATACTAGAAATGACTGATCAGAATTCTTTTTTTCTCTGAAATGCTAGGCTACTACTTTTATTATCCTTCCATCTGACTACTTTATGGCCAGTAAGTGCTCTGTTAGAAAAATAAGCCAGTTTGCATCAGCACAGACCTATCCATTTTGAAGGACAAAAATTACATATCTTGCCTGTGACAGATGGTGAACTAGTGGCAATAAATTGCTTCCCTTCATTTGATCTCTGTTTAGAACAGACTAGTGCTATGTATTCTGTATTTAGGCTAAATTCAAACAAGTAGGGAGTCTACTACAGAATGCACTAGAGTAATAATCCACTTATACTTAACAAAACACAGGAACTTAGAAAATCAAAGAATGTGAAAATTTAGCCAATTTCTAGAGGCTGACAGAAATAATTCTAAGGGTAAACTCCACACAAAACAATGGCATAATCCCTGGGAATGTATCACTTTTACTGATGATATTAGATTGCTGGTCAAGAAAAGAAAGAAAAATTTTAAACAAACAAAAATCAAGAAAAAAATGTGCAAAGGCTGAAACATTGTCATCTTTTTCAATGAGCTGAAAACACTGCATACAAAAATAATCACATGCTGTGGTTCACAGACTAAAGAGGGATTCCAGCGTGATAGAGGCTCTGTGATCCCTTCTCTAGAAATCTGAGTTGTTGCTAACACAAATGCACTTATCAAATCAGAGGACTGTGGAAATGAGATGTAAGGTGAATAAGATATCACGAATGGTGAGTCTAATAAATGTATCAAGGAACTAACTTTCACTTACCCCTTCAATAACATAATTCAGAAACAAGAGCCCAACAAGAGCCCAGCTTAGACACAGAGAAATCTGGGCTGAGAGTTAAACTTTCCACAACAAAACCAAAACAACCGACAACTCAAACCAATTCCACCCACCATTCCAAATAGACTCTAAAGCCAGGCAGTCCCTTTCCATGTTCATTTCACAGTGCTGATGAGTCCTCCCTCACACTTCTGTTCTTAGATCAGCTACTCTGGCACAGAGTGGGCATGTGAATGCACATACGTGCATATTGCTGTAGGAGGAAAAACAATGCATATGAATGAGATCTTGCAGTTTGGATTGATAAATCTGGCTACGCTGCCAGACACGGAGCTTAAGAAGAGAAGGAGTGACCACATCTCTTCATAACCCTGACCTTTGTGATGGCTGAGTGTCTGCTCTCTATGTTTCTCCCAAAAGCCTGAAGGCCAAGATGATAATGGGCATAGTAAAACCAATCCCACTTGGTTTTCCTTCTTTTGACCCAAAAGCAGAGAGACGTTTCTCTTGTTCTGTGATGCCTTACTAATTTTGACTTCAATTCTGACAGCTTTCCTTCCATCCTCTTCAGACACAAATAAGCTAAGCATGCAAAGGAGAAAGATCGGAGCAAAAGGATCTATGCAGGAACATTTCTCTCTGAACCCTGGAGAAAAGTGTTGCCTTTGTCTTTATAGAGGAAAGCAGATACTGACATAATGACAGATACTGAGTACAAATATCCAACTCAAGCAAAAACTACCATTTCCCAAAGCAGAAATGTCTTTTGCCTAATCCACTGGAGATGTTTTCATCACAAAATTCTGAGATGTATTGAGATCAAAAGGTGGCCAGAAGATGCTAAGCCTTTGGAAGGGTCCCTGGCAACACAGACTCTCTCAAGGGAGTCGAGGGATGCTCCCTCGAAAACACTGGTTATCAACATTTTGGATTAAAAAATATGTACAATGCAGTGAATTATTTACTGTATTCTAAACCTAAGAAGCAACAGGCAGAGAGAAAGAAGAAATATGAAACAGAAATTGATTAGCATGGTCCACTGTAGAGAAAGGAGGGGTAGGAATTACAGTACCTGAATACTTCACCAACTTTATCTTCTAGATAAAACCTTTAGATTTAGATATCCTTTAGATGCTCTGAGACATATTACCAGCTATGGTGCCAATATGACTTATAATTCTGAGTAAATCGTTTAGCCTCTCTGTTCAGCTTCATTATGAATGGAATAAATCTTGCCAGCTGAGCTACTGGGAATTACATGGAGGACAAACTTGAGAAGCTCTTCTGTATTAAACTTAACTGCACTCTCTTCAGTGATTTTAGTCTTTAATTCTATGTAAACCTGTATGTCTGCCTATCTCAGAGTACTAACAAAAGGACAAAGCATCACTGATCTGTTAGCATGAGAGGAAGAGGATGACTATATAAACGTCATGGCCAATGACTGACAAACAAGAAATCGGGCTACGCTCTGCCATGTTCAGTAAGTGTGAAAAGCCATATGAAAGAGACAGGGGAGTTGGTTCTAAATAAAATCATCTCAGGTTATTATAAGCTAACACACCTGGAGAGAGGAATTCAGTCCTCTGGGAAACAACTGTGTTGCAGGTATTAGTACTGCTATTACAGGTATAAATAGACCAGGGTAGAAAGATGGAGAGGGCAGGTAGAATGTTTTAGAAATTATTTATTTTCTTAGAGAGCGTCCAGTAAAAAGAGAAGCCTGATAAGACGCACAGTTTAGCATAGTCTCTGTTGTCAACTCAGTTTCAAACCTCCTGAGTAGCAGAAGAGGCAGTTTCACTCATCTCAAGGGCTACTGTAAGGCCAGAGTTCCTTTCTGCTAGTTCTAAACACTTCTTAAGTCTACCTCTGCCATCAGAAGAGATCAGAAGCTGATATAAGGTCCTTCAGACCTCAAATTCTATTTAAAAAAAAAAAAAAAGAGAAATATGTTAATTATATTAATTACAATAAGGCTGTAGTAGAAATAGGAGAATTAACTCCAACTGCTAGACAGAATAACACTTTAAGAGACATTTGAATATTTTGACCTTGAGTGAGTAGAGCGCACGTGCCTAGTGCAAGATGGCAAATGTGCAGTCTTTATATCCAGATAAGGTAGGATGCTACTTGCTTTGAACTGATGCAAAGCAGCCTGACTTTACCAGTGACCACACTTTCAAAACATTCCATGTATGCAGAATGGAAGCGGACAGCAGGTTAGATTTCTCTCAGCAGTATAAATTGTTTACTTCTACTGAAGTCAATGAACCACCACTGACTAATACATGCTGAAGAACTCTGCATGCACCTCGAAGTCAGTATGTGAGAGACTGTCACACCTTGTTTGCCATAAAACAATTATCTTTTAGAAAGCCTCTTTGTACGCAAGGCAACTTACGGAGCCAAATTCTCTCTTATTTGCACAATCCTATCCTACCATCAACATGTTCTTTACTAGATGAACAGCAATTTGATGATAGAACAAGTTACTTTATTAACTGAGTTAATTTTGACACTGTAGGGCACTGAACAGCTGAAAACATTATCAGGAGTTCCACTTTAACACTATTCAAAACATTTCTGGTACTTCTGTTATTTCTAAGGAGTACTTAGATGGAATAGTGTTGCCCTGTCAAAGGAATCAGTAGCAATAGAGAGAATATAGCTAGCAAGGTTTACATAAAACTAACAGTCATGTTATGCTCAAAAGCTTAAGTTTATTGCTCTATTTAATGACTACTGCCAGTATTTTTAAAAAGATTGCCAGTTCTTCTTGCTAGCTTCTCACTGAAGGAAATATTTTAAATACAGCAATAAAATCAAGTAGTTCAAGATAACACATTTTGCCACATAGTCATGCAAACCCTGCTGATAGGATTTTTACAGGTTCATGGATACAGAATAAACACAAAGGATGTGTACTAAAATACTGGGAAACTTTCCCCACAGCAATGAAGTTGTAGGCATAACATTTTAGGCCCTACCCTGCATCTGTTGATGTCAATGACAAAACCTCAATAGGAGCAGGATCAGCCCTTATTGTTCTGAGAGCTGCTTTACCTTCTCCTGATGAAGAGGCGAAGTAAATCCACAGAATCTTCTGCCCTAACAAAAGCAGTGAGTTTTGGTTATTGTTACAAATAGAGAAGCAAAAATACTTCCAGTAAATGATTGCAGCTTCCACTCACAAATCACTCTGATGTAAAGGGTCCTGTGTATCTCCATTTATGACTGCTCAAAGAACTTCAACACGTGCTTACCTCTAAGCATTGAATACACCAACTGAAGCCTTCACTGCCAGACTAAGGTCTAAAAACAAAAGCATGGGAAGTAGTCTGCATTATTTAAAAGGAAATACTACGGCTTGGGCTAGAGATTACAAAGGGATAACATTATCAAAACTTAGTTTGAGGGGAAATGTATCAAGAAGCAGCCACACATTGCGTGATCATTTTTTCTTAAGCTGCTTATGGGATTTGCGTTTCTAGTCATATTAATTTTAATGGACACTGGCCATTTGGTCTCCTTTAAAGCTTTGGAACAGGTTTAAATTCAAAATATGGTTGATCTTATTATTACATTTCAAATAAAGATGGATTCAAGTAAAAAGAAATTCCTCACCTCCGATTTCTGGCAAAACTACTGGGATTGTTGTTTTTATGACCACATAAAAAGACAAAACACTTTCAAAAATCAAATCTGATTACAGAATCAGATGCCAACATATTGAGAAAAGAAAACCGAAGAATTAATATTATTTCAACTTCTCCCCTATCCACCACAAATTCATCCAAGTTGTCATGATAGCAGGGTAACATTGCTGGTAAGAACTAGAGGCAAGAATTTGTCTCACATCAGTGAAATACTTTTTCCCTATAGTTCTGATAACACCAGTGATGGACTGCTTTAAAAAAATAAAACCAAGCAAACGCGATGTGTGAATCCTTAATTCAACATGAATCTACTTGAGTCTTTCAATGCAGAGGCTCAGAAGGTTTATGATATACACAGTATTCGGTAATTTTATATGTAAAAACAATCAGAAAGAGGCAAAAAGTTACTTTCAAGCTTAGTCAACATACGGCACATATTTCAGCATGACAATTCAAAAAGTTTCACACTGTATTTTGATATAATAGCAATTATGTTTTAAAAACAGCAAACTGAAGACAGTGCTCTTTTTTCTTTTTCTTTTTTTGATTTTGTAACAAATGAAGCTACTGTTCTTATTTACAAAATAAATAAGCCTTTTTTGGTGAAGATTATGTCCTGTCACATATGTTTAAGACCAGGTGTACTTCAGCTCTTAAATGTCAATGCAAACAAGAGCATAAAAGCAATATCAAAGTAAAATATATCTTTTTGTCCAGCTAAGACAGCCAGGTTACCACGTGTCTGTTATTAGATCTGAAATATATCTGAATGCAGTCAAAAGTTCTCTTGGTTTTAGCCTTTAGGAATATCATGAACACTTATTCTTCTGCTGCTCTAGAAAGCTGTTTTCCGTACAAGCTCATGACATGATGGACAAATTGATACTGTTCACAAGTCTGGATCATTCCTCCCCTGAAAAGGAAAGAAAAAAAAGGGGAGGGAAACAGCAACCGTTTTACACATAAATAACATCCTAGGAAATGGCACAGCTAGTATGAAGCTGGTTTTAAATACAACAGTTCTATTCCAAAGCCTACTGAAACAAATGAGAAAGTGCCAATGAACTGCAACCAGCTTGCAGTCTGACCTTGAGCTCTGTTCTGAATGTCTCTGCTAACAAGTAAAAGAAGGTAATCAGAATGAGAACAGCAGAGGCACTCAACCAGTAAGGCAACACCACCATTATTTGTTGCATTTGTGTTACTATAGCACCTGTACTCTAAGCACCATTTAACATCATCATAATCACAGAACGGTTTGGGTTGGAAGAGACCTTTAAGATCATCTAGTTCCAACCCCCTGCAATAGGCAGGGACACCTTCCACTAAAGCAGGTAGCTCAAAGCCCCATCTAGTCTGGCCTTAAAAGCCTCCAGGGAGAAGCCATCCACAACAATGAGTGATTTCACTAAAATCTCTTGGTGAAAAGCAACTCATATCCCAAAGCCCTAAAAAGACAGGTGTAAAAAAGAGAGCATGAAGAGCTGAAGCAGCTTCTCTAAGTCTTTAAAGCTGCACTACGGCCTGAATGCAAGAGCAAATTCAGGGCTACAGACGGCCAGGCCAGGCCAGCTCAGAAAATCTGTGCAACACATAACTCTCCCAGTCTGCAAAGAGGGATCATTCTTCTTTCATCATTCTTTCAAGGCTGTGCTCTTGAAAGATTACCAGGGAACCAGGTGATGTGCAGTAGGATTGTGAACCAGATATTGAAATCTGTACAAAGGACAACTAGTAACTGAATTAACTGCCATGCACACCTTGACTAGTAAGAGTCTCCAAGCACAGAAGTCTGTTTCGGTTCAGCTTTTACTGTTCTCTTTAAACCTGCAAACCTGAAAAGACCTGCAAGCAGGAGCAGAAAAACAATTTTCTTTTCTATGTACCATTAGCCCTTGTATTTCTGCAAATAGCATATTAATGAACACAAGTACTACAGCAGGAGACAAACATGAACAAAAAGAACACCACCTAATTCTGCTAAGAGCAGCACATCAATAGTGATACAATCTCTTGATAATCTCTTCTGAAGAAAATAAAAACCTGTGGCTCATATTCAAAGGTTTATGCAAAATTGTGCCAGCACTAGTGCTGGTACACAGATCTGGGGAATGCAGTGTCAAAAGAAGTCTGAAATGATGAGTGGTGTTGAGGACGTGGGAACCCATGGGTGGCCAGCACCAACCAGACTGTATCAGGTTGAGAAAAGGCATGTGTGTACACTGCCTTAGAAATTCCCACCAGAGGAAATGAAAGAACAATTGGGGCCTCTGAGCCAAATGGATAGCAGACTGGCAGCACCTCCTTGGGGACTGCCCTCTTCTATGGAGCTCAGCTTAACAATTGTGTAATGTTGCTAGAAGTAAGATGAGGTAATAAAATAGCCTCTTCCTTCAACCTTTTGCAATTATTTTGTTAAGGGACTGTTTTAAGCAGTGGAGGAGAACAACCAGCAATGGATGGAGATGAAGCCATAGGTTACTCTGGAGGTCCTGTGTCCAGGAGTGCTAAGAAAGCCAGACAAAGTCATAGGAATGCTCACTCGTGGGGGTCTGACTGGGATGCAGTTCTCTTTGTAGCACCTCAAATGATGATAGGTTTTAGAGATGTGATCAAAACAATGTTGACAATGCACTAGTATTGTGACTGTTGCCAAACAGTGCTTGCACCGTGTCAGAACTTTTCTGATTCTCCCTCTTCCATCCCACTGAATAGACCAGGGATGTGCAGGAAGTTGAGTGGGAAGATAATCAGGCAGATAATCAGAACTGACCAAAGAGACCATTTAATACCTTGCTCAGCAACAAAACAGAGGAGAGAGTAGAGTTAGATTACTAGCCTTTTTTTTTTTTTAGTTTTTAGTTTTATTTTTTATTTTTTACTGGGGGAGTTGCCAGGTATTTCACTGTTCATGGGAGGAGGTAAGAGACTTTGCATCACTTTCTTTTTTTTTGTTCTCTTCCTTTATTACCCCACTTTTCCGTTGCCTGTTAGTTTATTTTTTCCTATTCATCAATGACCTCACTTTACTCTTTTCATTCTTCTTCAATAAGCAAAGGTGGGAAACACAAACTGCATTTTTAAAGAAACTATTTCTTAGGAAATCCTCTCTATCTGCTCTACTTAATACAAATAGGCAAACTGAGTCATTCCATGTCATGCAAAGCATTTAAATATATTTATGTCAGTCCATGACAAACAAGGAACGTTAAGTTATATCTGGGAATAATTCCCCATGCAATCTATTAACACGAGGTTGCACACTGAAGTTGTAGCAACAGAAGCACTGGCGTGGACACTGAGATCCTTGCTATATGATAGCTTCCTCCCTTTCCCACATATACAGCATAGACAGCAGGTTCTTGTGTCCAGGCTCTTTGCACAGATTTGTAGCAAAGGGAATGTGTGAGGGAATGAAGGGAATGAAACATGACCTTTTTGCCCCTCAAAAGAATCCTAAAAGTGGGTTCTTAGGGCAACATCACTGCTGCTGTAAAGCAGTGAGGTACACTCAATTAAGCATCTGCTCTGGCCTCCATCCAACCTGCTTTTCTCATGTGCTTTCTCTAGCCAGTGGCCACCAGATGGGAGAAGATGGATAGGATCCTTCCCATAGCTGCTGGCTCATTTTGTGTAGCATCCAAAGTCACCCAAAGCTTTTGTGACAGTGGATATCAATATGACTTCAAGATCCATTTTTCACCACTTGAAAAAAATCACACTTTCCTACAGCAAGGTGGTGATTTGTCTGCTTTCCATCATGAGTATTTCCTCTCGTGTTATTAAAAAGCTTTTTCATGTCCCATCTGTCTACTGAGATGTATATGACAGCAAGAAGCACCTGCAGGCTTCCTTTTGCTCTGTGGCATCCCTTAAGCATATTCTCCCTTATCTAGTATCTACAAATAACTGGCAATTCTTTCTCCTAGAAAAAAAAAAAAAGAGTAATTTTAATTTATTTTCTGTACCAAGCATATTTTTAAAGGTGTCTTTGACCACTGTATGGCTGTTTTCCTGTGTAACATTAGTAATGAACACAAGATACGTTAGACCTTGCCAGATATTTCACTGGACCATGGCCAACAAGCATTTACTTAATCACATTCTAGTGTTTTTCTTTCCTCAAGAAGTCTTCCCTTGTCAGGTCTAAAATCCACTGAAATAGCCAAATTTCCAAGCCCCTGCAGGTCTCTATCAGAGCCTCAGTAGGGCAGCAAGTGATTTGTTTTCTGCCTCCCACCGAGCACAGTTTCTCATCTGAAATAAAGTTCAGTATAGGGTTGAGGTTGTTTTTGTTTTTTTTTTCAGAAAAATATTTGGTATGCCTTTCGTGACATTTCTTCTTCTGACTACATTTATCATTACCGTTAGAAAAGAACACTGAGACATGTTTTGATGGCACTTGAAACCAGTGGGAGAGGAAAAAAAAAAAATAACATCACTGGTGCAAATTCAAATCTGTTTACTTCATAATCAAACTCGAGGTGGTCTGTTAAGAAATACTTAAGTAGAAGCCACTGAATTTCTGGAGATTTTCACAGCTCCTCTCACATGTCTGCAAACACTCCAACCTAAGTATACTCTTCCCTTTCCCGCAATGTCTCAAGCAGCAATGCCCTGCCAACAGCATCCACAGTTCCAACTATGTGAGGCCAGTTTTCTTTACTCTTCCTGAGAGCAAAGAGCTGTTCTACAGCTCTGAATCAAATGCAACAGCCATTTGAGCCCTATGAACATTGTGCCAACTCCTCTGCTGGTGAAAACGGTCATCTCCTACTGCACTGAAGTCTGCACAGCTGTGCAGATTTTGATGCCAGCCATGAACCTAGCTCAGTTGCTAAGGATATTTGTTAAGGTTTTCTTCTCTAATAACATGAGCAAGATAAAGCTGCTTAGAACAGGACTACTTCGTTCCAGGAATGTTCTCTCTAAGCCTTTATTGGCCTTTGTTCCTCTCCACTTCCCATTTGTTCCTCCTTAAGCAAAGGGAAAGATTAACATTTTTCTTTTTATTTTTCTGAAAGGAAATGGGTTTTCTTACCTGTCTAACCGTAACTGGCAAGTTGTTCGCAATATGTCAACTATGCCCTCACTCTTCAGCTGTTTACAACAGACACTAGTTGCAATAAAGCAGCCCGTCCTCCCGATGCCTGCACTAAGGGAGGAAAAAGGAGAGAGAGGCAGCAAAGATGTTAGAACGGCTTTGGAATCTTTCTCGTTAAACAAATGCCCTTAAACCAACAGTTAAACCCCATTATCTTTTTCCTCCTTCCAAACTGAGGGATGGGTGCTCTTGAATATGAAGCCTTAACTAGGAAAAGGTAATAGCTCCAATGGAACAACATAATTCACACTGTGAGCTACTCACACCAAAAGGCTTCAGCTTTTTGTATTGCACACAGAGAGATAAAAATGTACTATGTACTGTCTCACCTCATGTCATTGAACTTGTCAAAATAAACAGTTAAATAATATTTCTTGGTTAGATGTGCTTTGAAGGCAACTATTATTTTGAGGGCAACCTTTGCTTTGAGATTCTTAACCCTAACAGCTTCTTGAAAACTACTTTCATTCATGTGTACAGTAAAAAACTCTTGGTTAGATTATTGGAGCTAACAGCAATATGACAAGTACAATTACATTTGCTCTCCAATCCGCAGTCTATTAATTCTCTGAATTAGCAAAGTGAGAGAACAAATTCACCAAAATTCATCTTTTCTGAACACTTCTGTATTTGATTCAGTCTTTGTAAGTGACCAGAATTTATTTCATTCTGAAAGGCACAGTGCTATGAAAGCTGTGAATTCTTATCACCTTATAAAAAACTCAAATTCTGACAGTCCCTCTTATGTGTTAAATAATTATAATTCTCTGTAAGAAATCCTGCTTTCATTTAAATTGTGCTCAGGTCACAACACAAGAACACTGGTAACAAATGTACAAGCAACAATGGAGTCTTCAGATGGCTGCTGCTAGCAAACTCTTAATGCTGTTTTTCTTCGTGTGTATAGACTTTAAATTCAGTGTTTATACTTGTTAGGGAACCTGCACTAGTATCAGATGCATTTGAATTGTTTTAACTTATATTACAGAATGATTGAGGCAATTCAGTGGAAATCTGCTGGATGAACTTAGTCCTGAATCTCAGCCTTCGAATAACTGTGATGGTGGTATCTACCTGATCTAAAGATTTTGTCCCTTCAACTCTCTGTGCCTCATGCCCTGATATATTTTTTTGGTTATCAAAATTTCAAACATTTCAGAGTGCCATAATCAAACAGCACATACCTACTGTATAAAGGTTCCCTTCTATAGATCTCGGCATCTTGCAAGGAAAGGGAACAACGCTCATTTTTGTAGAAATCTAACAGCACTGAGACATCATTGCCCCAGGCCAAGTTACAGTGGATGAGACAAAGTCATAATTCTTCCAAGACTTCAACATTATCCAGAGGACTTCATCTGGACTCCTAGTCTACCGTTAATGAAGATGCTTTTAAGAATTTCTTCACGATCAGACTCATTTTTAACATCACTGAGGGGCAAAATCACCATGATTATGGTTCTGCTGAGGATCTCCCACAGCAGCAAAAGGAGCAAATTGCAAGTACTGTGCAGAATCCAAACCTCACCCAATTACTTGCTTGCACACACCACTCTCAATTAGAGGCAACATATTAAATTCCTTCCTGGAGAAAATACCTGCAGCTGAGGATAATCTGAAATGGCACTGGTCCTCAGTTATCACAAAATACTTCATAGCTTCATCACCATATCTATTTGTGGTTATTTTACATAAAAATGACCTATTTTCCTCATACTGTGATGGATTCATGGGCATGACACCATATAAGAGGAAAAGGCAAATATGCAAATCAAGAGTGCTGTGGTGATCAGACTTTTCACCTGCAGCAAATACCATATTTCTCAAAGGAACTCTTAAAGAATCACAGGTTTTCACAGAATCATGCAATCATAGAATAGCAGGGGTTGGAAGGGATCTCCAGAGATCATCTAGCCCAGCCACCCTGCTAAAAAAGGCTACCTACAGTTACACAGGAAAGCATCCAGATAGGTTCTGAATATCCCCAGAGAAGGAGAGTCCAACAGTCTCTCTGGGCAGCTTGTTCCAGTGCTTTGTCACCCTCAAAGTAAAGTTTTTCCTCATGTTCAAATTGAACTTCAAGTGTTTCCATTACCGCCCGTTGCTCCCTGTCCTTCTGGTCACCACCAAAAACTCACCCACTTGACACCCACTCTTTGGATATTTACAAGCATTTGTAAGGTCCCCTCTCAATTTTCTGTTCCCCAGGCTGAACAGTCCTGGGCTTCTCAACCTTTTCTCACAAGGGAAATTATCCAGGCTCCTTATCTTTGTAGCCCCCCACTTGACTCTCTCTAGATGTTCCCTGTCTTTCTTGAACTGGGGAACTCCATTGCAAAAGGAACCATGTTATAAACCATTTCTTATTTTTCTCTGAACTCTTCCCTATTTGTCAAAAATTGGTTTAAAACACAAGCAGAAAAAGTAGACACAGTACTTTAGTACATATAGAGGAAATGATAACCGTACATTCCTTACTGACTTTCCTTTTCTGGATTGAAAGACTGTATTTGACCTCCTGGGTTCAACATTATACAAAGAGTCCACATAACCAACTGTAATCTCCAAGTCATTTTTTTTTGAGATGCCTTCTTTCCAGGAAACCAGTCCTGAGTAAAACATCCATTTATTTATACTAGACGTATGATCTTGTTATTAGCTGCACTAAAATGCATATTCTAAGAAATCCAATTCATCAAACAATCAAGACCTGAAAATATCTGATTCCAACACTATTTAGGGCAGCATTATATGATCATTTTATTAATGATTTCTCTGTATTTGCTGATAGGTGGATCTCTGACAACACTGGGCTATGAACCATTCATGCTAGAGTGACTTTAAAAAAAAGTTTCTGTTGTCTAATAACCTCTTCACCACAGTTTTCAGATAACAGCTATCTGACATTTCCTAGAAAACGTTATGCAGAATTAGACGAAATTCCTTACAGAAACTCCAAAGGCATTTTTGGCAAAATGTACTTTTACTGAAATTATGGAAAATTATCCTGGTAGCATTACTACATTACTTAGCAGACTTTATTTACCTGCAATAACTGTTTTGAGGATTGAGTTGTGGTATTCAAGTAATCACATTTAATCTTCCTAAATGCTAGCAAAACAAGACTTGTTTAAAGCCCTCTTTAAAATATGTATTATTATTTTAAGTTAAATGTTCTCATTTTTCTGCTTGCATGCATCTTCCTACTCAGTTTCACCCATTGTGTGTTTAGTTTTGGTAAAGTAGTGCTTTTAAGATCATTAAATGCATATATTTCTGGTAAAGCAAACGAAATACGGTTGTTGTAACATAACTAAACCAACAACAACTTCTGTCTACAGATCGGTCTGCATCTGTGCGCAACAGAAAACTGTTATTAAATTTTAGAAGTTCCAAGAAAATTTAAAGTAGTTGGACCAGATCTCTTGCATGTCTCTGACCAATGGTTCAACAAGGACAGCACCTGTAGCAAGCCACTGTATGCAAAGCAGCATACAATCCTTACTCACCTGCAGTGAACAATCACTGGAGCATTCTTCTCTTCTGCATTCTGCATTGCCTCTTCCACTTCCAGTACTAGTTGTAACAGGGGAGGAGCTTGATCTGGTGTCTTCTGGTCTGGCCAAGATGTGTACCAGTAATGTTTCAGGTTTCTGACTTCTTCTCCTTTCTGCAATGCAGTTAGGACAAACATCACATTTTCAGGAGAACACCATTTTTAAAAATTCCAATTTTAAGTCATACTGAAAACTAATCTTTAAGAATGAGATGAGTAAATCTATGCTAAAGGAAACAACAGATGCAAATGACAAGCCACACAGCACAAAAATCTGGACTTCAAAGATTGCATCTACACTTCAGCAAACTGCCTCAAGAAAAAAACAAGCCCCCCCCTCCCCAAAGTACTCTGCTCTTTTAGCGCCAAGAGCTGTGTGCAAAACAGTCTGTTCCCTCTTGACAGATTCATTCAGCAGAGCTGGAGCTGTACTCATGACATAATTGCTTTCATAATATATTTGACAGGCAGAGGGCCAGAAATCATATCTCTGTCTTTGATAGCTAGCTAGCTAGATGAGGGATAAGAGATGGGAGATTATTTTTCTCTCTTTTCTGACAGACAGACTCTTATCAGTTTCCTGTCACTTACACTCCTCTCTTTGACATGGTGACAGATTCACTGGAAGGCGAGAATTATATCTGGATGCAGTCCGGGGTTTCTGATGAGAAAAATTCTGATTCCCTCCCTCTGTGTTTCAAGCATGGACATGAATATAGCAAATGTGCCTTTTATCTGTTCTGAGTGCCAAGTAGCACTCAGTGCTTCTGATTTTGTGTTCAAAGTGACGTCCTTCTGCCTGATTTCTAAAGGTGCCAACCAGTAACATACAGCTCAGTCACTGTATAAACTGGTTGGCACAGGACTATGCAAAATATCTTCACAAAGTCCAGAAAATTAGGTGTTAGTTTCCACGACCTTTCCTCAAACACAAGGCCAAATAAGTTTAGGATGGGTGGAGGTGGGAAAAGAAGAGCAAATTTAACACGGATAACTGGAAATAGATTTTGTCATCTAGACTCTAAAGACCCTACGACTATTAGTCAATGGATGACAAAAGTGCTCCATGACTGCCACCTTCCGTTCTTCTCCTGGGGTGGAGAAACTTTGCATAGCTTCACTGTAAAATGGATTAGGGAAGAAGCGATCTAATTAAATCTTCATTTTTAAATGGATCAACTTTCCCCTTTGTCTTAACACACAATTAAAATGTGACCAGTTTTGTGAGTTATCAGCATTCCAGCAGAATTAAGCTGTATATTGTTCTTGCTGCTGCACTGCATGTTGGAATAATTTCTATTTAAGGTCAGGGCAAGTCTGCAACACACTTGTAACTATTATTTACTTCCTGTTTGTTGGAAAGCATGATTTTCTCCTTGATGCGTGAGCGATAGATCTTCCACAGTTCCAGTCCCAGCACGAGATTTCATATCCTGGCATTCTGCCTATTAGCATGTGGCTGAAGAGACTTGAAAATGTTTGGTAAAAGGAAGATTTTTTCAGTTTGGAAAGAAATTGCATTGTTATATTGAGGTCAGGGGTAGATTTTGTAGATGAAGGATATACAGAGGTTATGTAAATACACTGTTTTTATTAAAACTCATAGGTTGAGATTCTAAAATCCAGCAATTAAAATAGTTGTAAAATAGGACTCTGGTACTTCAGGCTAAGTAGCATCTGAGCACTTAAGTAAATTCCATTTAACCTCTCTATCCACAAGATAACCAAACTCTTTCTGGTAAGTAAAACTACATGAATAATTGGAAAAATACTACACACAGAAAAATAAGCATATAGAATGCTATAGTGGAAAGTGTTTATAAAGATCATGGACAGTTTTTGTATCTGAGAGTGGTATGATCCCTTAAAACATCTTCAAGTCAAGTCGGCCAAATTGTTCAAAGATTTTTAAGGGGGTTCTGCCATGGTGAACAGCAGGAGTTATTGCCACACTACTGATATGTTATGCAGGCCAGTAATCCTATCTCTGAGGGAAGCTGAAGAAACAATGGCAACAAGAATCTTTTTATCAGTTCTCAACACCCTCACATCCTGTCAGCAGCACAGAAGTCATTTTAGGCAAAAACAGCTGGTGGGTATCTACCAGCATCTTAATGATGCACATAAAGAAATACAGTCAATGTTTCCTAGTGGTCTCCTACTACAAAAATTATAAAATCTTACGCAAATATAAATTTCCTATTAGTAATCAATAACCCCTTGCCTAAGTCCACAGACCAAAGAGTATACAAGCCTCTGAATTCCACAGAACACCACCAAAGAGTTCAGTGGGTAAATCCACATATGTTGTCTGTATTATGACTTGCAAATGCTGGTAAGAAGCTCTCAATGGACCAACACATCTCTATAAATTACCAGTTATAAATTACAGAATCACAGAACATCCTCAGTTGTAAGGGACACACATGGATCATGGAGTCCAAATCCTAGCTCCACAGAGGACCACCCAAAATCTAAATTCTATGTCTGAGACTGTCGCCCATATGCTTCCTGAACTCTAGCTTTGGTGCTGTCATCACTACCTGGGTAAACTGTTCCAGTGCTCTACCACACCCTAATGAAAAATCTTTCCCAAATCCCCAACCAGACCCTCCCCTGATGCAACTCCATGCTGTTCCTTTGGGTCCTGTTGCTGTTATGAGAGAAGTGATCAGACAATGCAGAAGACACAGGCAGAATGAGCCACCAATTTCTTCCATTGAGTAAAGCCTGTACTACTACAATTGGCCCGGAAGTGTTCAGATTGTATATATGTAGTCTAAATCTTACACTACTTATTGTAGTCTTTGAGGAACTGGGCAGAGCTGCAGTAATTAAAAGTGAGATTTGTACATTAGTATACCATGCAGAAGATTTTTATACAGATCTCTATTAGCAGTCATGTTTAAGAGTTTAGATAGCAGAGTTATTTTAAGTACATTTTAGCGATTTACCTTTAGGGTGATGAGCCTTAAACGGTAGTCATCTGCTTGTATGACTTGGTTAACTATGATTTCTATTCCTTCATAGGTGATCTGTTCCTCTGGCCAATATTCTGTGCATTTCTATGTGCAATAAAAAAATAAATCTAGTTAAGCAGACATCCAGGGAGGCTCATTTTTACCTCTCTGAAATTGGATTCGTGCATGCATAGATGAATATGAATGATAGCTGTTTCTATAATAAGTACATGCTTTCAATTTCTATACAGGGAATACATTTATAGTGATTTTTGCTGCATTCATAATAGCTTGATAGCCTGATAAAATGTACAAATCAAATAACTAACCATTCCTTTGAAATATATACACTCTTATATTTAAGCAACTTATAAACATTCTGAAGCTTCACTAGAAAGACCAGAAGCAATTTGCTTATATTTATAATAGCCTGTGTTTTTAGATTGATTAATTTCTTAAGATAACAATGATCAGTACAGTACAGACTTGTCACCTATGCTTCTGTGATGTACACAAATTGATAAGAAAATACAAAATACATCTTTCATACTTTTGTTGGAGGGTCATTGCTCTCTCAATATGATCGTGCGCATAAGTGTTGCACAAAAGAACATGATTTGAGAATTCTGCATCAGAGCTAAGTAATCAAAGGGATGCAATAGCTGTGAGATATATTAGACTACTACATTTGATTTTGCTAAAACACAGCCAGAGATGCATCTAGAAAAAAAGTGACAATTAGAGAAGCTGAAACTTTGGTTCATTTGTAAATCTGAATTGTGGCACTGATAATATACACAAATGGATAGGAATCTGTAACTACTTTTACCCTGGAAGGACTGAAACATACTTTTTTTTACATGCTTTCTCTAAGGCAATCAATATGCAGAAGGGACAAGCACCTCAACATGGTGTAGGGACTGTTTCATGGACAAGAAATGACATGAACAAGGAAGGGTCTAAGAAAAAGGCTCCCCGTGTGATAAAGGAAGAAGAAACTTCTTGTTATCACAGGAGAATGAGAACCTGCTGCTGGACAAACCCAGTTAGAGAGGATGGTTGTAAGCTTCCTTTCCTACACGACAGCACAAAATCTTGAAGGGAGTTAAATGACACATTGCCCTCATCCATCAGAAACAATTCCATTTCAGGAGAAAGACTAACAACAGAAAAGTATCTTGCTACATTACTGAGTCAAAATTTGAGTGGGAGAAACAGTGCTGTTCCATCTGCATAGCACATCAGTTAATAACCTACTGGGAATGTGGCCCACTGTGTTTCTGTAAAATTATTTACGCAGATTGCATTTTCACTTCCTCTCCTCTCAAACTGCAGAATCCATTGTAAAAATTGTCAAGCAGCTATCAATAGCACAGACATTGCTGTGCTTAAAGGAATGGAGTAAGATTGCCCACTCATTTCTGTGGGCTGTCTGTCAGTTCACATTAGATGTGACAGAGGGCTGAGATACAGAACTCCACACATGTACGTTAGCAAAGCCATTGAACAGAGCAGGAACACAAAGCCATAGCAGAACAGAGGTTTTGGTGTTGTTTTTTTTGTACTTTTGCAACTTGTTATTATATTAATATGCATTATGGAAAAAAGGAAGTGAATATAGGAGACACTCACATGTCTTATCCTATATTTATGGTCAAGATTCCTGACACCTTTTAATTTTTGACACTAAAGTTATACACTAAAGTTATCAGAAAAGAATCATCAGCTCTCTTCCTATATAAAGGCTGCAGCAAGCTCCCGTGATATATAGTGCAACAGTGCTGCATTACACTGCTTCCCACAATGTGGGTAAGAGGAAATTTGTATTCCTGCTATTCAATCTTGCTATGAAAACTACAGTGAAAGAAATTCTTAACAAATATATCATTCAGGAACAAAGTTTCCTCTGTCTCCCTCTCTTTTTTTTTTTTTCTCTCAAATCTGAAAGCAGTTTTGGTACATTATATCACAACATTTCAACATCTTGTTTGCCACAACTTGGCAACTCTGATAAATAAGCAAGTTATTACTTCAGCACTACCTTTTAAGGATGCTTTTTATTTTTAACTTGCAAAGCATGTTAACTCTGTATCAGTCTTGTTCACACCTATTCCCCACTCCCCTAAAAATCATGCTGAAGTGATTTACTCCACACCTGGTGAAGGTTAAAGGTTTTTGCAAATGCACAATGATTGTCACTAGGCTTTCAGCTTGCACTTAAGGCTGTCTGTATGTTTGTATTCTTGGGCTTTTAAGTGTCTGAAGCATCTTCACCAAAGAAAGATGAAGTTTAAATTTCATTTAAACTCCTAATGAGTTTACAGGACCAAGCTTTGACAAACGCTGCTGCTGCAGTTTAGGAAATACCATTTGTATCTCTCCACTATTTTTTACTGCCAGAGGTGAAGATGTAAAGTCCAACACACCCAGACCCTAGTTTGACATTCTGTGCTGGCAATGAAGGTGGCTGAAGATCAGTCATCTACCTGTGAACTGAAGACCAAACACATAGTTGCTATGGGCCAAATATTTTAGTAGATAAGTTAGTAATGAACATTTGAAAGTCAGTAGCTCTTTGAACTGCAAATAAAAATTGTGTTAAGCGTATTACCAGAAATATTGTGACACTTTACTTTCTGCAAGTAAATATAACATTTCTGTATTTTAATTTCTATATTTCAACAGTATTTCTTAGACATGTTTCAGGAAAATGGACTCCACGTCCACGTCAGCTCTAGTTGTTGATTACTATAAATACCAACTTCCACAAGTCAGGGACAGGTGTATAAGGTGGCTATAGACACTGAATCATAATAAATGCAAGGAAAAAAAAAACAACACAGACACTGTTGATCGAAGACTAGACCAAACAGAGGTAGATCAGAATCCTTTTTGAGTCCTTTAAAGAAAACTTCAAGTGAGCAAATGGAGTTCAGTTCGGAAAGACTTCAGGACAACTGGGAAAGGAAAAATGGCAAAACCAGCAGTAGGCTAAGTCAGAGACAAAAACAAGACTTTCAGTAAATTAAACTGAAAGAGGAGAAGCCCACATTTTCTCTAGTCCTAAAGAATTTAAGTCTTGTTCTGACTGTAGAGGCCACTGAACTAAGTTCAGTTCACTTATTCGGTTAGCATCTGTGCCAAAATACATCCAGAGTACAGAAAAATATATACTGTATGTAATACCATTACCTCATTCATCTCTTCTATATTGGTAATCATGACAATGATGGGAGAACGCTCCTGCCACACCATTCTCCAGAAATCACTGACAGTGTTAACTATCGGTCCCTGAGTAGCAATATATACCTTCTCCTCTCCTCCATAGCCCTGCCAAGAGAACGACAAGAGATTGTTAATATCGTTTAATAGGGATGTCCACTCCCAATCTTGAAGGTTCATTTTTTAAAAGCTGGTTGGAATAAAGACTCTGCAAAATCAGTTCTTCCCTTCTCTCCTGCACATATGTACATAGAGGAAAAGCACTATGCTGTCATAGCTTCAGCAATGAGAGTCCAGAGCCTTGAAATAACTCTAGCCACGTCAACACGCTTACTGAGGCTTATCTTCCAGCATGCAGTTCAGATCAACTGACAAGCAGTTTTCATCAAGAAGGGCAGAACTGTATTTTTGTCTGGTATGAACCTGTAAAATTGCACTTAGAGATTTAGTTTTCAGATAACATAAGCAGGAGAGAGCAATCAGATCAGATAAAATGCCTTTAAAAGTAAGTGGATGCTGCAAATCTGTTTACATTAATATTGGCTGATAGAGGCCAGGCAGACAGATTGCTGAGCTCTTACCCTGATGTAGTTAGCATTGATGTAAGAGCTAAGGGGGTCGTCCTGATCAGCTGAGGTAAGGCACACTCTGCTGTGAGGATCTGAAATGTGTAAACAGATAAGCAATAGTTTATCATTTGCTGACAGAGGATAAAGAGAGTTACAAGATAATTTTGTTGAGAGACATTTACACACATTTATGGTCATCAGAACAGGTGTCAGTGACCTTGGAAAGATCCAATGTTAAACGTTAAAGCAAAACAAGGTGAAGAGTGACTGGGAGTCATTCAACCTTCTCTGATAATTTTACCCACTCTGAAGCCTGTTTCATTCCTCCTGTTGAAGAAGCAGTGATCACTGTGATTCTAGAGCAGTATCAATTCCCTTGTTCAGTACTAATTAGCAAACAGCAACAGTGCACCACCAAGAGAATGTAAAAACAAACAACAGATAACATCTTCATTAAAAATAAAATGGAGCCTGCTCAAAAACCAGGACAAAATAATAAATAAGCAAAAATGGTATGATATTGGGTCAAGCAAAAAGAACCAAGCACGCAGTGGTTTCTACTGTACTATAACACACTCGGTATAAACACTGTCCTCAGACAGATCTGATTCATGTTATCTATTATAAGATATTAGAGTCACAATGTTATGTGATCTACAGAACAAATGTATTAGCAGATACTGTTTTATAAAACAGAAGTACTGAAACTACTGAGTTCCTCTGAAATACAGTTCCTTCCCAGTTCACCTCCCTAGTACTGGGGAGATAGTGAGACAGGAGATGGTCTGCTTTTTAATGACTACTTCTGAAAGCCCACAACAAGTTGTGCCTTTAAAAGGCAACACTAGTTGCCAGATGTTTAGATCTTACTGGACTAGGTAGTGAAGACTGTGGCATAAAGTATCTTTGTGTGGGTTTTATGGAACCTGCTCAAGCTTGGGTAATGACTGCATGATTTTCCCCCTTCTAAGAACAGCAATATGTTGTGCAGCACATAGTGGATTCTGTAACAAGGCTCTTCTCTATTTGATCAAAAAGCGCCTGCAAATGCCCTAGAGAAAAGTTATAATTTTCAAGGAAATTACACAGTGCTCTTCCCAGAAGAGGACTGCCTGCTAACAAGCAGCTTCAAACTTATGAAATATCCACATCAACCTTCTCAGCTTGGCATTTTTCCAGAGCTATCCTTCTGTCATCCAAAAGTCACCTACTAACTCTCTCTACTATCAGTTGTGAGATTTGAGAATCTGCAGAAAGAATTTACTATGAAATAAATATAAATTAGATGAATTACATCTAATTGATACATCAAGACTACTATCATGTCTCTCACTTACTACAGTTATCTTGAGGGTTGCAAGAAACATATCATTATCATACGTGACTGCTCACCTTGTAATGATAACAGCCTAGATTACTTCTGGATATGTAGCTGGCAAAGGAATCTTAGTTATTTTCAGGTTTTTGTATTAGGGTTTTGAATTTTTGAATCTGGTTTGTTAATCAAGCTATTCCATAGGATAATCAATTGCTCAAGATCGTTGTGCTGCAGATCGTTCAGCAGTTCCTGCCAGTAGTGCTGCCTGCATCTAGAGCTTGGAGGAACACTAGGTTGATACACAAGGCAGAGCAGGCTACGTTTGGTACAGGCTACTCAGAAACCAGTCAGTGGATGGTTGAAATATGAAAAGCACTGAACTTCCCCCTCATCATGCCTTAATTCCCCCTCCTGCCTTGTGCATGAACAAATTAGTGGGATCACCAGCGTTTAATTGTGAAGTATAAACAGGATTTTTTTTTAATGCCTGGCACTGGCATATCCTTCAAAATGGAAGTAGTTGGATAAAAGTGAACATGATCAGCCCATTTCACTCCTCAAATACAACAAGCCATCCCCTGGTCACAGACAGGAACATAACATTGCACACTGACTGATGGTTATTGAATTCAGGAAAAAAAAAAATATGAGCATGGAATGTTTATTAATTCTAGGAGGCACAGTAGAGTAGAAACTAGTTATATGGAGACATCAAAGCAACAGCATTATCTGCCACAATTATCCATAAGGCTGAGACAAAGTTTCCAGCAAATAATTGACTTCTAGAGTGATCATTCTTAAAAATATATGGTAGTATGTTGGCATCTGTTTACATCTCTGGAAGAATCTGTGAAAAATGGTAGTAAATATGCTTTTTGAGTTTAAAAATACAATATAGAATATTTAAAGTGGATCCAATGCTCAAAGTACACATTAGATAGCAAATTCAGAATATATAGAGCACTTTACAATCTAGATATTTGGACATTCACAGTCACCAGTAACTTCTGCAATCTTCCCTTTCCAGCAAAAGAAGCATATTAATTCTTGAATTATTCATCTCAGTCATTAGCACAGAAATTATGAAATATCTATTTGGGTGCTTCATACTTCTGATCTAAGGTGGAGTACAAAGTCATCAGAAGGGTAGTGTACATGGAATCATGGGCTGCAGTTGGCTGGAGTTGTAAATCCAGAGTGAAAGAAACAACAACAACAACAACAACAAAAACAAAACAAAAAGCCCAACCCACCACCACTTTTTCTGGAACTATTCCCAATCCAGATTCATTGCCTAAAACAACAGGTAAACACACACCTTTCACTTCTCTGAACTGATCTTCACTAATGTGACACTGAACAATTTGGTCTTTGCAAATAAAGGTAACTGTAGCTAATGGTGGCATTTTCCAACAGCAGCTTACAACAGAAATGAGGCATGACATCTAATTGCATCTTCAGCTAACGCACCAGGGAAAATCATGATTCTTAAAAATTTTTGTACCAGAATGATTCTCAGAACTCCTACTCTTGGCTACAAATAAAAATAATGTAAAAGAAAATAAAGAGTTGGATTTTCTTCAATATCTTAATGCCACCAGATCAACTCCTGATACTTCAAAATGCCAAGTGAGAGCATGAGTCTCAGAAAAGCATTGCTCAAGAAAATAATGTTGATAGAACATAGTCCTCCTACAGGAGTTTATCAAAGAAACCACTAAGTAGCACTTGAATAAACACGCCAATTTCTTGGACAGAGATTGTAAAAAGCATTAAATGATGTAATCCTCACAACTTAAAAACTTAAGTGCTAATGATATTTTGTCAATCTTAGGTTGTTCATGCTCTGTATGTCCTTTGAAACTTGATTTACATTTAGAAGACATGTTGCTGCTTCATAAACATGGCTTTTGGACAGTACAGCACACTTGATGTATCCTGGAAAAGAGACTGCAAAACCTTTCAGCACATGGAATAGACCAACACGTTTTACTGTCTTAAAAAAGCAGAAACTTACTTGGAAGAATTGTTTTGTAGCGATTCTTCCGCACCAGGCCTGGAATATCATATTCCTTTGGATCAACAAAGTTCATTGGAATTTCCTGCTCAAAAAAAAAGACAACACAGAGTATGTTGTCATTAGATTCACAAGAGGAATTAAAAAAAAAAACATTATGTCCTGTCTGTTAGGGAGGCAAAATGATGAAGTCAAGTGGGACATATGGTACGGTACTTCTAACAACTTATCACTAAAATATGAGTGATGTTTCCTTTTACTGTCACTGGCTTTCTTTTCTAAAATCCTTAGTACAAAAATGCTCATAGTGACTAATTCATTAAGTAATATGCGAGACAGCATTATGTTAGCTCTTCATATTATTAGAGCTGAATTGCAAGTGTAGGCACAGAACTAAGCTAAACGTGGTACGTAAGATACTTTATTCCAAAAGTGATGGACCTCAGACACCACCCTTTCTGACTCATGCTCCTTCCTCTCTGAAGGTGGAAGGAACTCATCTGCTAGTGACACTCACAAGCAACAAAAGATGACACACACTATGACAGTAAGGTGTACTGACCTGATGCTATGGAGGTAGGCAGGGGTGTATATCTTTTTTTGCTCACTACATTTTACAGCTCCATGAGCAAGGTGTGAAGAGACTACCTGCTCTCTATACTGCCATTCTAAAGGAAACATGAAATTAGAGGGGTTTGTTGTTCTCCAGTGCTCATTTTCTGTACTTATGTGGCCACTGACAGCCAGGGACAAACAAGACTTTCCGTCAGCTGGTGACAGTAGGCATGCGAAAAGGTAGGATGCATAAGTCAGTCTCAACAGAAAAGTAGATCACAGAGCTTGGAAGCAGAGCTGAACAGTATAGTTGCAGAACATGATTTGAGAGGCCAGTAGTACTGAACATACCGGTGGTGAAGTCTGAGAATTTAGATAAGCAGAGATGTTAAATTCTGAAACTTTAGAAGATTATCTATATTCTGCCTCATATAGTATTGAGCGTACTTGGCCTTAAAGAGAAGCAATTAATGATAAAACATCTGATGGAAATAGTTTCCTCTCAATTTGAGGAGCTGCATGGGAATGAGGTCTTCATGCTTTCCCTGCTTTGTTACTTAGTACTTAGTCACCAAAAAAATCTACCTGAGTCAAGCTCTATGGTCTCTTTTTGGAACTTACTCATTCACCACTTGAATTGTTGTTAAAATCAAAGGAACTTTGCCTGAGTAAGTAAGAACTCCAAATGTTTTAAGAATTTCAGGACTTAGCTGTGCAAATGACAAATTTGACTTCTTTTCCAAAGTGAAACATAGCTACTTGCTTTGTCATGGATCTACACTTTAAAAACCAAGTAGGTTAGACATAGATTGAAAACATATGCCACAGATCTGGTGATAACTGTTCCATATAAACTAGATTATTATTTTTATTTACAGAAATGAAGTTCTGATTAAATGGCATTTTTATCTACACAAGGAAAACACACTCAAAAGCTGTCAAAGAACAGAAACATTTCTCCTACTTCTAACATCATTTTCTTTGCTTGAAATCCATAGTGAGATTGGTCAAATTGCATATGGATTTCTTCAGCCATCAACTCATACACTTACTAAGTGAGTATTTCCTCCCTTGAACAAGTAAAACATACTTTACTTTAAAGGAATCAGGAGTTGCCTACCCAAAAGCTGCTTTTCTTCATCTTGCATAACACGCTAAGCAAGTTATACACCACAGATATCTGTCAGCCTGTTTTAAAACACCAGTTCAATCTCTCTCATCTCAGAGTCTCAAGAGCAAGTGACATTTGAAGAGTCATAGAGGAGGCAGGCTGAAAGGGGTGCTATACTGCAAAACATTATCTTCCTCCCACTCTACTGAGATTCTGTGCTTAAGAGAATATTTGAGCAGGCAGCATTTGCTGCAGCAGCTCTTGATCCCATGTTCTGAAATACCCCAGCATGCAGACTGCGTCCTGGTTACCTCCCATTTTGTGCAACCCTGCTTAGTAGACATAACACTCCTGGGCTCTGCAGCATCTTTATTCATTTATTTTGTTAGCTACAAACAATGACTCTAATGGAGACTGAAGCAATTAAGGAAGAGACGCAGATGGAATGCAATGATCCAAAAAGCCAGCATGCTCACTACATTGAAATATATCTGGTCTTTATCCTAATTAATTAATTGTAGAAATCAAATTTGCACCTCCTTGCTTTGTCTCTGTAGATACACTTTTTTTGCCCTCAAATAAGGCTGAGCTCTCTCTCAAGTAGCGTTGGATAGAGTGAAAGAAGGAAACATGCATACTTCAGAATCCTAAGAGCAACCAACAGAGCACTTTACAGCTAGTAAAATACTTGTTTTTCTTCTGCAGAAAAATTACTTTTTAAGACTCTAGCTGACTGACCTAGCCATTCAGTGCTTCAGTCATCTGGAGAATGTTGAGGCTACTTAAAACAAAGCTTCATGCAAAGCATTCAACAGCAGAGAGCATGCATCCGGACTAATTTAATGCCTAAGGTGACTCAAGATTTCAAGAAGCAACATCTATAGCAAACTAGGCTTTTCTTATATAGTGAAAAAGTTTGATTTTGATTTTTCACCAGAAAGTAATATATTGAGGAAAAGAAGGAAGAAGTCTGGTGAAAATAACACTCTGCTGTTGCTTCCAGAATCAATTCTGTAGTTTTTATGTGACAAGATCACTTCAGGCTCTCAGGCATCACCATTTTGATGGATGATGAATTTCAGGTTTTCACCTAATGCTTCACTGATAGAACTGGAATTTCTATATATTAATTATAGTCCCGCAGAAAATAATTGCAGGGCTCAGGAAAAACACACAACATTCTATTTTTTGGATCCCCCTAGAAGAGTCAGATACTCACAAAGAATTCTGCCTGGAGTATGAATGAATCCAGAGCTTTCTTGTGCAGTTCTTCTTCAGTAAGAATGTTTGACGCTGTCTGGAGATATTCTTGCGCTGACTGTTCCCGTGGTGACATGATATAGCCAAAACCTTGCTCAGAACAGCCTGGGGTACACATATCTAGCGTGAGTGAAACATTGGAACCCCTCCTGCAAAACAGAGCAGTCAGTTTGCTTACCACAGTATGGGCTGACCTATCACTGCCAGTATACATCAGCAATGGATAGAGTTCTGACAAAAGTAACTGTGAAAAACTGGTGACGCTTCTTGCGTAGATAAGAATAGAAGATCATTTTGTACACTGGCATGTGAAGGTCAATACTGTCAAAAGCCCACACTGACAAAGCATCGTCCCTAAAAAGGCAACTATATTTTGTTACCCAAACTGAAGCAACCTGTTAGTCAAAGGCACTGAGGAGACAACTGCAGAAAGTTTTTGTACTTGTGTAAATCGCGCAATATTTTTGAAAAGCTGAAGACAGACTGACAATTTGGACCAAGATTTTCACCTGTGATATATTAGTTTTCTTCAGGCCAGATCCTACTGAATAACCATCTCTTAGTCTCTCAGACAATATCGGCAAGGTAAGATCTTGGAATAAACATTACAGTTCAACATGAATAAATACATGAGATGCTAGACATAACATTGGATAATTATTCAATCTAAAAAGTTTTCGTTCCACAACAGTATTCATGAGAAGGGTAAAAAGGAAGTCCCAGTATTTAAACAATTAAGAGCATCTCTGTTTATAACATGTAGAATTTTTAGTGGCATTTACGCAAGTTAGCTACACAACAAAACAAAAAGGTCAGAATGCCAGCACTGTTTATTGAAAATATGTAAAGCACTTCTGAGCTTCTGTCAATCTCATGTCATAGACAAAGAGAGACACAAATGCCATCAGTGAATCTATTTTCAAACATCTTTAACATAAGAACATCACACAGCACAATGATTACTGGATTTAACGTGCTATACATCCACTCAGTAGACCTATTTTTGATGACTCACTCACCTGGCAAAATCTACTTGGGAGATGTTTGCAGGAGCTGCTCAAAAAACATGTACACACACAAGGATGACCAGCTCACAGAGAAATGGGTAGAAGTTGTTACTTGCATCACAGCCCTTTTCTAGATTCAGGAGTTTTTCCAAAAGAATGTGCAGCCAGCCTCCTGCTAAGATTCACAGTTATGGGTAAATGATTATGGATGAAACATGACCACTAGTGGTAAACACTGAACTTTTCGTGGCCCTTTTCAAAATATTTTGACCTATCCTCCCCTATGCTTTAAACAGCTAACTACATCCCTCCCCAGAAATAACTGCATTTGATAACAAATGCTTTCAGTTCTTTTAAGGTAGCAGAGGCTACACACACAGATATTAGTACTACTTCAGCATAGGAAATGAGATTGTCTCTTCCAGAATAACATCCAGTGCTCTTTGAACTCAGCTAGTAACTAATTCCCTTTTTAATGGTGTAGGTGGTTAAGAATGAGATGGAAGAAAGATGGAGAAGCAGGATGGATTAACAAGAAAAAAAAAGAGGGGTAGGTAGATAATTTAACACAACACTACCACGAGGGAAGAGGGACCAATGCTTGATGTAAATGAAATCTGCCTGAGCACAGCCCAAACCTGAAATGTTGTCTGGTTTCACAAGCACCTGTATATGTTGAAAAAAAGTTTGTTTTACATCTTAGTGTACACATTCTACCTACTGAGAGAGCTTCAAGAAACTGCTATCCCACTTCACATCTCTTCTTCCTTGATTTTTAATTGTAATTCAATACTTTAATATTCACTGATTTCCTTGAAAGAGTGAGCATCTTTCTTGAAGAATAGCTGCCATGCAAGAAGAAATGCAAGCATTTTTAAAAAGAGAGGGATGGGAAGATATTAGGAATACTTCAAAGCTCGAATGACTGGTACATTTCAATCTTGCCCATAGTGAAGAACAGCAAAACTGGAATATCATGTTTAAACCAGAAGAATGCAAAAAGTAAGACATTTGAGGAATAAGGATGTAAACAAAAATAAAGTGTGAGAAAAACATTCTAAACTTACACTACAATTAAAAGCCTCTGCTAAAACATTTTCTTAATGTGTCATGTGGACCTTTGGAAACTTATCATATGCTTTTAAATCATTTAAGTTCTGTCTTTTAAATTCTAGACATGAGAATTATGGTTAGCACTCCAATTAAGATGGAAGAACTGAAAATAAAGAAAGGTGATATTTTTTCCTATTTTGGGCCCTGCAGTAAAATTATCCATAACATCACCTTTGAAGAATTTCTGTATGAGATTTCTATCCCAAATATCTTCATTCTGCTTCACAAAGACAACTGAAAGCATAACATAGAAACAAAATACAGGCTGCCAGCAATGTAAACTCAGTTCTCCTGTGGTCCCCAGAATAAGAAAGGGCAGGCATGTTAAATCAGTGGCCCTTCTGGAATATGTATGAGCAAAGATGGAGAAATGCAATACAAAACAGTACTGATTCACTCCTGTCTTCCTCTTGTCTGAAAACTGCTCTTTCCCAGTTGTGAATCTCTCTGAGAAACTGTTGCTTTCTGGTTTAAGAAGTGAACATCAGCTCATCCTAAAATTCCATGACTGGGTTAAGTTCAAAGCAATTCATTCACTTTTTGAGTAACCCAATTTATAGACGAATTAGGGCAGATATTTTGTACTATGGTTTGCTTTTGGAGTGAAGACCAAACCTTCAGTACAAGTGGCAGAAAAGAAGAATTAACAAGATCCATCTTCCAGTTGTAAAAGATTTCACTGCTCTGTAGTGGATTTCATGCTATGCAGTTGCCATCCTGGGAAATGGCAAGAGACAGATCAAACAAATGGATCTTACCAAGGAAACAAGTGACACTTCTGCATAAGACCTGTAGAGTGCTATCAGGAAATTGCATGATTTTTGATTAACACACTTAATAGTCAGGAATGGACTGAAAAAAGACAGGTAATAAGGCAGCAGCTTAGCTTCAAAACCACATTTGAAAATGACATTCATGAGGGTAATAAAGCTTACTACTAGGCACAGAACTAAGCCAGAAAATCTGGAACCAAGCATTCCCCTGGTTCAGGACATCTACCCTACCTTTCTTGCAAGCCCACGGATTTAACTGTTAGAGTAGCTGGATCTGTCTCCACTTTAATGTCCATTACACAGTCAAAGACTGGGGTCTCTGGTACAGGATCCAAGTCTAGAAAGTCATCCTCATTTTTATCTTCTGTCCACTCTGAGTACGTGAACGAAGGCTGCCGGCTCACAGATTGGCGTCTGTCCTCCTGGAGCGGAAAGGGGGGGTCTGGACGAGCTCTGAGCAGATGCCAAAACTGGAGGAAATAAACATTTAAAAAAACCCTTTCTGGTTGATGCCAGTCCTTGCACACAGCTTAGAGGATGGGTCACAAGGACAGCATCCCAATTCATTATGATGCATCAGAATTGGATAGTATCAAAGAGGACAGGAACGTTCTACGCAGGAATAGCTTTGTAATGTGTTACAAGGATTCAAATCTGCTTTCAGCCACAGAGGTTTCCACAGAGCTGGTCAGGCTCAGGAATACAGCGGAAGCAGAATGTGCTTGTGATCATCACATGCAAGCCAACGTGACACCACTGCCCTTTTGTTCACTTGCTTACCTTTCACAGACTTGTTTACAAAATCAGAATGTACTATAAATACCTCTCCACAATTAATGTTCTTTTTCACCTAAAATGCAGATACACTTGATTTAAGGTAAACACAATTTTCCTGAGCTGCGCATCTTTGATAATCTGGCAGTCTAGTCTAAATTCATGTATAAGTCCATCATTTTTTGTAGGTCTGAAGTTTGATGCAAGTTGTTTTGAGTCTCAGAACACCAAAATAATTTTTTGGCCATTAGTGAGGCATGCTTTGCAATGTAATTGTCAGATTTAAACATGGTATAGTCATATAATAATAAATCCTGAGAAATTCTAGGACAAACGCGGTATTAAAATTTTGTATTATATATTAATTAGGGGTTTGAAATGGCGTATATCTAAGAAAATATTCTACCATATTGCTTTACATGGATGCGTGGTAGGCTAAATGATTTTGAGATATTATCATTTGAGTGTTTAATCCAATGTACAGACCTCAGATAAAAAAGTCGAGTTCACTTCTGAATTCCAAAACCTGAAACATAAGGCCAATTTCATCCCTCCAGCATTGAAGCAGGAGAAGAATCATTCAGGCTGAGTGTCATGAAAAGTGTCTTGCACAGACATGTACCCTTTTGAAACTAAGAAGAACAAGTTGCATTTTCCAAAGTAAGTTCTCTTCTGTACTTTTCTGTAATGGCTTTTAAGTGGGCAGTTGAAATTAGAGAATGTGCCAACAAAAAAGGTCAAATTTTCAGCTTGCACAGGGTTTTCAGCAGAAATTTTTCCACATGTCTTTACATGCTCTTATTTTTCTGAGTCTACAGAATGAAAAGTGAAGCAAGTTTTCACTTCTGTCTACACTGAGTTTTAGAGATCGTTAGACTCTCACAAAAAAGCAGTATTCACTCAACAGTTACTGCAATCACAATGCTGTTGTTTCAGCTGATCAGGGCAAGCAGCAATTACAAAAGCAAAGAGAAACGTGATTGCTACATAATGTAGAAAATGGATAGCATCACCAACGCAAACCTCAAGCACGCTACCCAGCCTGTTATTTTCACTGTGACCTGTAAACTTCCAATACATTCTGGTGTCTGGACATTCTCAGAAAAGCATGTCAAACTTTAGCTGAGATCTAATCTCTTGAAAAATTTGCTCCATGCGTATCATAGTCACAGACTGCCCGATGCAAAAAAGAACTAAATTTTATCATGTGCACAGGCAAGACAGAGCCCCAGTTCTTTTCATATTTCTTCTGAAAATCATTTTCTCTGCATTGTTAGGTGTCCCAATAGTTATTGCTCTAAGATTAAGGCAACAAAGTAGCTCTATAAACAGGCATTTCTCCTCCCTTTTCCAGGTAACTGCTAGGGCTTTAGTGTAAGTAACCACAGTTACTGAATAAGAAAGTACATAAGGTGTTTTAATTGATATGCCATCTAGCATGCATGGTAGAGAGGGACTAGTGGGTCAGGTCCATCTATAAAGAAAGAAGAGTACATTTAGGAATAAAAAAATTAATTATAACGGCACTCTTCAATGTAAAACACCTCTTCAATGAGGCTTCTAGGCAGCACATCACTTAAAAAAACACTGGAAAAACAGCAACAACAAAAAGCAAAATGAAACAAAAAATCCTTAGTTGAGACAAAGAAGAAAACAGTCTTCACGCAACTGTCTGTTGTCTACGAGGCTAGTATTTCAGAAATCCTGCTTAGGTACATCACTACATCATTTCCAGTGTTCTGCTAATGACTATTTTACACTTATTCCCTAAACACTGGTAAAGAGACATTTTCAAATTGCTGCTCAGCATGACCTGTGAAGAGAAGGAGACCAAGATAATAAGCAGGAAGAGACCAGGTTCATATGCTCTCTGAACAGTTCCTCCTAATGTCACTATCAGAGAGAAGATACTGGGAAAGATGGACCATTGCTCTGACTGCACAGGACGTGTACTGTGTTCCAATGTTATGACTGCAATTTTAAGAGCAGCTACAGAGGTGAAACCACAAGATATGATGGCCACAAGCTGCAGAATGGGAAATTAAGATCAGACATTAAAATAAACTTCTTCCCCAAGCGTGCCACATGGTTAAAACATAATATCTAGATATCTAGAGAGGTGATACATCTCTTTCCCTAGAGGTTTTCAAAACCCATGTAGAAAAATGTTTGGCTACCTTACTAAGTGTTGGCAGCAGCCCCGCCTCAAAACCAGATGTTGGATTGGCAAACTCAACTCCAGATCTCCCCTCCAACTAACCTGTGATTCTAAGATATAATTGATTATACTGCATATCAGTCCAACTGCATGCACATTGCATGGCTTCAGCTTCCTGAGTGGCCTGAAAATATTCTACTACAAGGACAGGAGGTGATTATTTTCTACCTGCATTTCCATCCTAACAGAACAGTGTAGATGGATAAGAAATGTCATATTTAGTTATAGCTCCCTAAAATGAAAGAATTCTCCCCAGCTTTTCCATCTAATGCACACCTTTGTGACATTTACACAGTGGAGAAAAGCAGTGCAATCCTCCTGCTCCACAGTGGTTGTCAGTTAACTAGGTTATTGGTAGTAATGCCACTAATCTTGTCCTGCACCTGGGGTCTTGGCCTATATCTATCTACAAGAGCATTACTCTGGTAAGCATACTGGTGCTCTGCAACAGCTTCTTCTACCACTTCAGTCAACAGATGCTCTGCATAAGGCAGCAATTTTAGATGGTTCCTTTACTGGACCACATGCTTTCTATTCTAAATGAAAACACTCAGCCCATCTGTAGATAGAGAAAATAAAAACCGTCACTGTAATCCACAATTAATCAAGAAATTGAGTAAGGATAAAAGTAGTCAGGATTCCTCTATGTAAAGCATGCCAGTAATTTTACAGAAATAGTTGCTTTAAAATCATCCTGAGGATAACATCAATAACTTTCAGTAAACTAGACATTTTATAAAAACTCACTTGAAAAAGTGCATGAAACAGCTTGCACAGAACTGTACTTACCAGAGATCCAACAAGTAGCAGTCCTAGAGAAACTAAGGACAGCAGGATATACGATATCACAACATTCCCAATTCTAGTTAGATCCTGCAAAACAACAGAATTGATATCATAAAGTGCTTTAAGACACAGTATAACATCTGCATACGTGTTCTTGATATTTACCATTCTTGGATTTTCCATGTAGACTAATCTTATCTGTGAAAGCTGCCAACACCACCAACAGAAAAATGCCAGGCTTTCAAGAAGATTCAAATTGAAACCACATCTTAAGGTGGTTTCCACTGTGAGGACTGTTGCAGAACAATGAACTTGTCCTCACCTTATATATTCCCAAAATTGAGATTCGGAATCACTGCTGAATTTTGCAGCCTGGATCCGTGTTACATTGCCCCAGTCAGTTTAATTTTATTCCCTGGCAGAATGCTTTGAACTATGTTTAGTACTGCTTCTGTGTTTATAGGTTCTTACATAAAACCCAGGCACAGAGGACTTTGTCATCAGGTTCATTCACAGCACTTCACTTGCAGTGAAATTCACTCCACAGTTCTGGTCATATTTAGGCACATCGGAGTTCATCCTTACTCTCAGTACTATGTGTAAAATATGATTTTAATGAACTTTAGTGGGCAAGGAAATTTACTATTTCTGATCTACCAGTAATGCTAGAGAAAATCAATAGTTAAGAGCTGTTGTTTATCTAAATATCAAATTTGTTTGACCTTACTGTTTTCAAGTCTAAATTTATATGGTGAGTAATGCTATAATAAATAATTTTTAAAGATATACATGAACATCTGCACAGAGGCACACTTGGGTGTTCTTGTGGTGCTTTCTACAAATCACTTTCCTCCATGCTGAACTCACAGAACATTCATTTTAAGTCAAAATCTTATAAATCAGTGATTTTATGCAAGAAAAAGAAATTGTTAATGATAGGTTGACTGAAAATAAGAAATAAGCAGTGCTCTGTAACGAGCTTTGATTATGCATCATAGTAAATGCAACTGAGAAAGGACAAAGCACTTCTTTTAAATAAAAAGAGCAAGTGACATGCAGCTCAAACACTTAAGGGAATACAGAAAGCAGTCTCCACTGTACTTCAGCCACAAGAGGTACTGAGTAAGATTTCCTATTTGTACTGCATAGCTTCCTTTATAAAGATTACATACAATGAATCTAAACATTCTGAGGGCAATTATATTTCATCTGATTTTTGTCAGTAGCTGCTCACCACTTAATTAATGCTCTGTCCACAATAGCAAAATCTGCACTGGGTATAATTAGCCCAGTAATTAATCAAATGAATCATACTGGTATCTGTGTCATTATGCCATGGTGAGAAGCTAAGCAATTTTACTGAGGTAGCTTTGTAGATGTAATTGTACGTGTACTCCTCATATACCTGAAATATTTTTACACATACAGATATGTTTTAAACTCAATAAAAACAGAATTTAGTGACTGAGCATTTCACAGTTTGCATCCTTTGTGTGGATTCATCCATTGCTTCCAAGAATTTAAGCTTCTATCTCTCCCAATAAAAGGAGTTCCACGCTCTCTCTTCATGCAGATGAAGCATTATAAGGCTGATCTCTCATTGGCTTGTTTCATTTGCAATAATTTGCACAGTAGGAAAAAAATTCCTATGTTTATCTAACATCACAGCCAAAAATCTGGCCCTGTTTTTTGAAGACAAAATACGGATCTATTTTCAGAAAACATTTTCCACTATTTCAGAACACACACACACACAATGCACAATCACTACATTATTAGAAACACAGATGTACTACACATTTAGTCCAAAGACATAAGCATCAACTAAGGCTACTGACAACAACCATCCCAACAGAGAGATGAGCAAAGACACTTACCCCTCCTTGATCTGACAAAAACTGTTCAAATGGGGTAAGCAAGTAAAACAGCATGTCAAAGGCATTCTGAGCTGCTGAGATGGTCCCATAAGTGCTGTACCACAGCATCATGCAGAGAAGCTGTGCAATCAATCAGACAAAAACATAATGAGTTCTCCTCATTATACATTTCTTTTCAAGACTGCATAATTAACTAATTTACTTGTCATTGAGCTTATGTTGATCATCATTGTTGCTTTAAGAATTCAGGTATTTTCCAGACTCTAATTTCACAAAAATAGAAAGATGAGTGATAAATGCTCAACCAGCATGATCTAGATGCTTATCAATGAGAACAGAAAGCTTACTCTGATCTACACTAGCAAAATGACTATACCTCTAAAGAGCAATGATCCCTCTGAGTTCTGAATTTTCAGAATTACTACTTTTAAATCAAAACTGGAATTCAGTGAATTTTTTATATTATTAAAATGTGTATCTCACACTATGCAAAACTTTCACAAATGGCCTTGTCCAAATACTTATCCCTATAAAAACACACATACTGAAGCATTTCATTTCAATCACTTAAGGTTGCTGTATACTACACACTTAACACAAAATAATAAAAGCAATAATATTTTATTTAATGCTCTCACAGAACTCACTTCCTATCTCAAAAGACTTTAAAAAGGATGCACTACTCAGACCATTTTTCAACAAGACTGTTATTTACCCTCATATAGATCAGTTGCGGAAGATTCACCTGTTGTGAGATGGTGAGATTTTTAAAAGGGAAGAGAATGGGACAAGAGACTGGGAAACCCAAAGCAGGGGCTGTTAGCAAAGAAAGGGTGAGGCAGGTGGCTGCAGAAATAAGACAACTACAGTTAAATCCACTGTTATGTCCACCATGAATCCTGCAAAGCCAAGAAAGCTTATAAGAAGCGTCCCATCATTTCAAAGCGACAAGAAGCTTCCTTACCAGTATCTGAGAGAGGACAAACAGATACATGCTGTCTCCAGTCATTAATCCATTCCACCAGGCAGCCCAAGCAAGCAGTGCAGTTTTCTGGGTGGTTTTCAGCGACTGCTCCTTCCTGTTCAGCTGTTCTTGTTGCTCTTGAGCTTCACCCATTGACTCCATCACAGCTGGATTGTAAAGACCTTCACATGAAAACAACATGTGCAGGGAATGAATAGCACATAACCCTGCAGCCACTGCAAATGCTGCTGGAGCTATTGTTTTCCTAAAGACGATGGGTACCTCTCAGTTCTGCATCAGTAAGTGCAGCTCAGGGTTGCGAGCGTCACAGTCTATTAGCATAGCTGTATTCACCTGCCTTTGTCAGAAAAAAGCGAGTGTGGGTGGATAAATTATTTTCCTCTTTCTTTCCAGAGGGGCAGATCCTAGGCTTTGTTGTTAATACATTCTCATTTACATTGCTGCACCTTTTTGTTTTCTACTCTTAAAGTAACCATCTATCCTACTTTCTAGTTCCAGCCACATGGTGGCATTTTGTTCCTCCCTGCCTCAGTTTCTTCCTTTCCCATTATTTCTCTTTGCCTAATGTGATTAAAAAATTCTGAGATAGAGACTCATGCTCACACGTGTCTCCGTAGCTCTGGATTTTGGCTAGGTGTCCTATGGCACTAATAAAGGACAAATTATAATAACGTACTTTTTGGCTGGATTTGTATCTAGGAGTTATTTGATAACACTGCAGTGCTATTTCATTTAATGGACAAATGCACTGGTGCGGTGAACTCCTCAGCAGCATTATTTTAAACATAATGCATAAACAATAATTAAGATAATAATTAGATAAAAAATCAGACCCATCTGAAGTAAGTACTAGTGATCTACATCATTCCACGTGAGCAAAATCCCAAGGTTGCTCTATCCACAATATTATCCTCAAGCCAAAGCAAGCCATGAGTGCCCAGGTAATGGCAACACTGTTGGCCTTCCTGTGGTTTGTGGAGGTGAGGTTTCTGCCGAATGCTTCCTTCAGGTATTTCTCTCAATGTGTCAGAATAGTCATAATGTCAGAAAAGCATTCATAAATGAGGCACAACTCTAATTAGGCAAATGAAACATTCATGGCATCAGTCTGGACATCAGTATGACAAAGATTCAGGGAAATGCACTGTTTAATCTCTAAATCATGGCAGCAGACAGGAACATGGGCTTTTAATTTCTAAGAGATTCTTATTCCCACTCTGAGGCTGTTTTCTCTCCCTTCACGGAAATAGACCTTATGACATCCCTGCATAAACGAACAAGGCACTTGGGAAACATTAATGATTTCCTACAATGCTCTCTATTCCCTTAGCTGCCCCAAACCAAAAAGATCATCAGTGTGTACTACCCAGTACTTTTGCAAGAGATCAGGTTACTTGTTTCTTATATTCAAACTATCTCCACTCAGTTTGTGATGGGGAATAGCCTAAGAAGGCTGTGAGGGGTCTAAGTGGCTCTGGGTAGTTATTTTCAGCACCTTTTTGCAGGTATTTCTCAGGAAGTATGAAAATGCACATCTAGATACACACACTCAGCTATACAAGCTGTACACCATAGGTATATGTGGAATTAACTGACAGACGATTAGCCAGGGAAGACTCAGCACAGCAATCAGCACCAATACCATCTTTTTCGTATTAAACATATGCTGATAAAACATGGAAATAGATGAAAGTAAAAAGGTAAAAATAGACAACAACAACTCCAGCATGTATTTCTCACAGTGGCAAATTTCTCTTCACTTTCATCTGTACACCTCAAATGCTGGAAGACATGAGCTATGAAGTAGCACTTGTTAATAAAAAGCAGGCAGTCTGTGGAATACAGCTGAAGAGGTCAAGGGAAATCTGTGTCCATCCCTCAGGGTCCAGCCAGTAACAAACAGAGTCTCACGACACCCCCTCCAAGAAACATACAGAGCCCAGATGCAGTCCTTTTTGTCCACAGACACTGACCACCCATTTAACATCCCTGATACCATGACACATAGAGCTAAACTCAATGACTGCCAAGATGACAACATAGCAGCCATGTTTCTAGTCATGGCTGCCTAAACACCTTCAATGTTGACAAGAACAAAGGGGAAAACCCTTGTTACTATCTGTCAGTTTTTTTCTGGTTTTGCTTGTTTGTGGAATGGTCATGTTCTGTTTGGCAACTAGAAGTTGAAATTTAGCGGGGACAGAAAATTGATGTTAGAAATTATTTTTGCCAACCATGTAGGAAGACGTTCACGTGGCTGAGATAAACGTACAGAATTGTCTGTCTAAATACTTTATTGTGACTTCGAGTCTCTAACCCTCTGTTTTTACCAAACACGTTTTAAGTCCTACTTTTCCTCCATCAGCATTAAATAATGCACCTCAGTCCATGAGCATGGCTGATAAACCCATTAATTTACTGTTTTTCTAAGCCTTTGTGATGGCTTTTGTTGGATGCACTTTCCAAAAGCTTCACTAAAATATCTGCAAAGCAGAAATAAAATACCTTTTGGAAGACATCCAGAGAACACAGATTCCAAGCTCAGCTTTCAACTCTTTCTTATAAATTCATAATGTTTCAAAGACTTTTTTTTTAACAGACCAAAATCACCTTGTTATGCAGGTAAATAGAATTTCTACATTTCGTACCTGTTAGAGCCTGAGATTTTTACAAGGCCACTTCTGCCTAAGTTGGAAACAGAACCCTGACACTAAACGATGATGTTAAGGCCACTTGACCACACGCCTTTTGGAACAAAGACATCAAAGTTAGGGAAGTTCTGGATCTGTAATCTTGGAGATCTATGCCCCTCCAGAGCCAAGAAGCTTAATTCCCAGAATTCCAGTGCTGTCTAGCAACAGATGTACAATTGTAGGAGTCATGTTCTTATGGCTGCCCAATAGAAGTAATCTATTGTCCTTCATTTCATTTCTACTCTGAGGTAGAAATCTGCTCCATGAACCTAAGAGCCAAGGACTCCTGCTCTGATGAAACGTTACTGTTTACCTGCTGCCACCAGTTTCCTTTCACTAATACAGTAAAAAATAAAAATTAAAAAAAAAATCAGACACACCAAGTCAAGAACACAAATAATGGAGAAATGTCAGAATCCGTACATATTATGATAAACATACATATTGAGATTATTGTCTTCAGCAAACAAAGAATTAAAACTGGATTCATTCAAGTTCACAAAAAAACCCCAAACATTACGACTCCAAATCACAGAAGATTTTTACAAACATAATGATGCCTACCTAAGATTTTGTCCTGATTTAACTATATCAGCTTTAAATTATATTTCAATTATCAAACTCGATATCACAATCCTATATTGCTGTATTATTCTAGCAGACTATAATTTCTTTCACTGCACAGTTTAGGTAATATGAGTGAGATATCAACAAAGGTCAGTGTGAAGGTCTTGAGACAGCTGATAAGAATGACTCCCCATCCAGAAAAAGAACGATTAAGCCTTACTTTGATAGTGATTTGATTGACAGCAAATTGCAACACCCACATGATAGCCTTATGAATTTCTACATCATGGAAATATGGATTCAAATTCCACCAATACTTCTCCTTTGACACAGGGCTATATTTGCTAGAAAAATCAATTGGAAGAACCAAAATGTCTCAGACATCTATATCAAGTGTATGGCTTATTAAAGCAACTTAAAATTTTAGAACAGCACCATGAACTTAAACATCACTCCTGATCTTTCAGTCAAACTAAGTGAAGCATCCATCTTGCATTCTTTTCCTAAACACAACCATCAGTACAAGTTGCCAAAAATAAATCCCAAGATCATCTATCTAGGCTGTACTTCATAATGATTAAGAAATCATTATTTTAGGGCAGACATCACCAAGAAAAATAGGGTCACTTCTTAGTGTGGGTGCTGTCCTACACTAAGGGCAGGAATCTTTGGGCAGGATAGGAATAGGCAGGGAATCAATGAACTGTTGAGTCACATCCTAGATGCGCAAACTAGAAGAGAGAAATGGCCTCACCTACATTGCCAGCTCTCTAGTTCCAGCAGTCAGCAAGCTGTAAGCAGCTCAACTGCACTGTCCCATGCACGCATTACGTGTGAGGAGGATCCGTGTCCCTCCAAACCTGTCTACATCTTCACGACAGCTGTGTTTGGCAAGAATTCACACTGAACAATGGGTCTGGAGTCAGGAAGCATTGATAACCACAGATGTGCCGGCTATGCCTCATAGTCAGCAAAATTATCAACATTTTATATCACAGACCTAAATCTACATATAGCCTCTCCACCTTTAAGTATCCACATGCAATAACCCATTGAAATTATTGTCTCAGATTTCCATCCAGCTGCTAGGGAGACCTGCCATCAATTAGAGAATAATAAATGAACGCGTTCTACTGAGATGAGCCAGCAAAGATCATTTTCACAGGCACTGAAACTACATATGCAGGACATAGTCCTGGCTATGCACTTCATATATCCTGTTAAATCTGAAAGTCACGAGACACTGATTGCAGGGAAATCCAGATACTGTCAAGACACTTCTAAGACGAATGAACTGCTTCAGAGTGCACGTGAACATGATATAGCTTGCACTGGAGTACAATAGAACAACTCATCCACTCATGGGATAAAGATACCAGTTCAGAGGACATTCTCTGTTTTGCTTGCAACATGATGTATGAGAAGGATGAAAACAGAATAATAAGCTTCTGGACCAAGAAACAAACATTTCTTTTGCACTACAATAGTACGGGAGAAGGCAGATACGAGGAAGGAGAAGTATTGTACTTACATAGCAGAAAACTTGTGTACTCACATTCCTCTCTCCACAGGAAATCAGCTGTGAGGTCACTAACCTACAACTCAAACTTTTACTAAACTTCTTTACAACCTGGTAATCTCACACATTAAGTAGATAAACATAATGGCTGATGTCATAACTCTTTATAGATGTATACAATTCACCATATGCAGGAAAGGCTGTTTTTCCTTCACATCCTCTGCATTCTTAAGTCATCTGACAAGTTACGTTCAAAACTATGCTGAAGATCCAGTCAGCTGTGTTGAAAGCAGTGGGAATACTATTTCACACTTCTGTAGTAATATTAAGAATGTATCTCTTTCTACCTCCTCTACTATTGATTTTCTTTGTACCGTCTCCA